AAACCCTAATGTAAACCCTAATGTAAAAAAACAGAAGAAGAAAACTCGATAATATTCTCTAAAAATAAACTAGATGACTATAATTAACTTACAATTCTAAAACTACTCTGCAAATAATAAATATAGAAAAAAAAAAGTAGAAAATTCTATAAAAATAGTTTATTTTATTTTAAAACATGCTTTTATATAAATATAATTTATTATATTTTAAATACAGCTAAGATGTCTACCGCATTTTATTTATTTTAGTCGGTTAGATTAGTCAGATTAGTCAGATTATTCTAATATTTATAGAAAAAATCTAAAAAAGACTTATATAAAGTTTTTTATAAAAAATACAGTATCTGTAAGAGCTGTTTAAATAATTAAAAACTAATCTATTTAGTACTAAAATATAAGAATTTTAAGTATAAAAAAAGAAAGAAAAAAGAAGAAAAATACGAAAAGACTTTAGAATATATATTATTATTACGCGGGGAAGTCGGTCAAACTAAATAAATAAAATAAGATTAGTATAATTAATAGCAGATCTTTAGAGTACTTAAAGTCAAAAAGATTAAATAAATTAAAAAAATTAACTGGATAAAAAAGATAAAAAAAATTAACTAGATTAAAAAAATAAAAATAGTAGACTATTCTTATAGTATCTAGTATTTAATAAGATAATTATTAGAAAGTACAGTTGCCGAGAAAAACTATATAAATAATATTATATAGATTTTTCTTTAAGTTTAATTTATTATACAGATAATTCAGCTTTTTTAGATAGAAATAAGAATATAATAGACTATCTAAACTAAAGTAAAAAGAAGAATAGTAAAATAAAAATAGTATATTTATTTTTAATAGTCCGATTATTAGTAAATATACAGTTTTTCTGATATTATATATTATAATTAAAATATACAGTTTAAACCGAGCTGTAATTATATATTTTTATATATATTTCTTGCTATAAGAACTATAATTTTATAAAAAGCTGAATTTTGTTAATACTATTAGAAATCTCTGATTAATTCTTTAAAATAGAAATAAAGAAGATACTAATATTTTTTTTAGTTATTTTTTTCTGATTTTAAAAACTTATTTTTATATACTTTTAGACAATGGTTAAGATGATTAGATTAATAACCGCTTAATCTAAATATATCTTAACCGTGCTAAAATTTAAATAGATATAGCAAGCAGATCTTAGTATTAAGAATAGTTAAGATGGTTAACCGTCCCTTTTTTAGCTATACCGCGGTCAGGTATAAAAATTTCCTTAACCTGGCCATAACCTGGCGGTCAGGTATAAAAATTCCAATTAACCTGACCTGACCTGGCCGTTAGCCACTCTAGCCGTAGTAGAACTAAAAGTTTTAGCCAGATATAGCAAGTATTTTTCTCTATATATTATTATAAATACATAGATATAATAATATAGATATTTTAGAAAAAAGTACTAGATTTTAATCCGAAGACAGTTTCTTATATATATAAGTAAAGTATTCAGCGATATTAGTAACAGAAGGAGAAGCAGTACAATAGCCGGAGCCAGATAAAAATTTATGTAATTTTATTTTATTAGTTTTTAATAATACGTGTAGTAGAGTGCTTTTGTTAATAAAAAGTAATAATCTTAGTTTTATACGGCTTAAGGTCGATATATAGAGATATTTCTGAAAGTAAAAATAAAGCTGTATATACAGAAAAAGAGAATATCTTTATATCAGATCTATTATATAATATATTAGTTCTTAAATAGGAGGCGGTAAGATCAGCGGTCAAGGGACTTAGTAAGGAAAAACTTTATTTGTCTGATGGCTGTAATCGTCCGCCGTACTTCACTCTTTTCCGGTCGTCCGCCGGTCCGCCGTGCGGTGCGGGGTATTCGGTTGTTCTGGACCTGGATTGGCGTCGGATCCTTCCCATCATGCGATTAGCTGATTCGCTGGGTTGGTGACCAATTGCCCTGTGTGCATCCTGCAGTGATCGATACTGACTCAACTGTGGTGCCAGTGACTCATTCCTAGTCCGCTATTGGGAAAGGCCATGCTTCGGTATCATCACGTCAACTTTAATTGGATAGGTAGTCACCCAACCTTCTCTTGGGGTCAATCAACTATCCGTGTGGTTGACTGGGTAGCTGAACGCCGTATAAGGTAGAACCTACCTTCGGGGTAACTCAATTAGGCGGCCTTCCAAGCCGGACATTATAAGAGGATCCCATCCACGGGTCAGTAGGTGGAAGCAATGCTCCAGTTGCAACCTTGATCATCTAGCTAGAGCACAGTGGGCTATCTATGCCCTGAACTGTTAGAGCACAACATGTCCACTCAACTCGACGCCGCCTGGGTCGCCCGTCTCTCCCTACACGACCCCGCCCACTTCAGCATCCAGCACTCGCAAACTCTGCATCGCCTGGTGCTCCTACAGCACTGGAACATCCCGACTGGTGCCAAGGTGCTGGAGCTCGGATGCGGGCAAGGGGACTGCACGACTGTCCTTGCAACTGCCGTGGGCGAGCAAGGAAGCGTGGTGGCGGTTGATCCTGCGGACCTGGATTATGGTGAGCCCGGACTGGCTCCCTTTTCCCTACCCTGCTGCCAGTCTGTCCTGAAAATGCAAGTAGAACGTAGCTGACCAATGGCTGCTGCAGGTGCGCCGTATACCCTTGGCCAAGCACAGGGCCACATTTCGCAAGGCTCACTGGGGGATCGCATTACTTGGGTCCAACAACCCCCTCTGGACTACCTGTCCTCACTCCATCCCCCCTCCCCCTCTTCGCCCCTCGCCAGCCAGACTAAGGCCTTCGACGCAGCGGTGCTCGTCCACAGCCTATGGTACTTTGCCTCCCCCTCGCTCATTTTGTCCACCCTGTGTGCCCTCAAGCAGCACAGTAAGCGTCTCCTTCTCGCCGAGTGGTCGTTAGTCGCCACGCACCCCTCTGCTCAGCCTCACGTGTTAGCGGCGCTTACCCAGGCCGCGCTGGAGTGCCGTAAACCCATTAGCAATTCGAATGTCCGCACGGTGCTGGGACCCAGGCGGCTTACCGAGCTGGCCCTGGCCGCCGGGTGGCAGTTGCAGAGCGAGACCCGCGTGCAAAGTGGGGAGGGCTTGTTGGACGGACAGTGGGAAGTCTCTGCTTGTCTGTCTTCATCTTTCGAAAAAGAGGTGGAGGAGGCAGTGAGTGATGGGAGGGAACGGGCAATGGTTTTTGCGTTACGGGATGCGTGTGCGGCGAGCTTGGAGGGTATACCAGGGGGCCGGACAGGGGTTAGGGCCATGGATGTTTGGGTGGCTAGTTTCGTGTGATCCGGCAACTTACCTCTGCTTTCCACAGTGGCAGACACCTACTTTCCTCTGCCTTGATCTGGAAGCTAGCTATGTGTGACGGTCGAGAGCGACCAACGGGCCAGGATGCGGCAAATGGATCCAGTGACCAATGCAGTAGTTTGAAAACAGGTCATTCTTAGGGGGGTCCAGTGATCAGTGTACCTGCCTGCATTCATATGGAGGTTGCAGGCTTACGTGCATTCGGGGTTTCGGACAGGAGAAAAGCCCGAGGCTATGCAAGACAAAGAACCCAATGCCTGGTATGATCGAACTTTGGTCAGCAAACATGGACTGGAAGGTTCAGGGGCTGATAGTAGTATGCAGCTTGCTGTCTTTGCTTTGGTTATGGGGTTTTCCATCTATTTCATGCTGCGCCTGCTTATTCTTTTGACATCCTCTGTTAATTTATTCCTCTTTCTCATCCCCTTTCTTTCTCATCCCCTCCCCCATGGCTGAGACCTCAACTCCCGAATTGGAGCAGAAGAAAGCTCTATCCAACTCGACATACAGTAAAGTACTAGATAGTCCACACGATCGCGGGACTGAGCCAGAAAGCAATGGGACGAACTCCGATGAATCTCTCCATCCCCCGGGGCCCAAACCGAGGAAGACCTGGCGGTTTTGGGCGGTCTTCCCATCCTTGTGTATGACGACCTTCCTCGCCGCTCTCGACACATCCATTCTCTCCACTGCCTCTCCGACTATTGCGCTCGATCTACACGCGGCAGAGTTGTACATGTGGATTACCAATGCATACATTTTGTCCTCCACCGTGGTCCTCCCCGCTCTTCGGCCAAACGGCGAACATCTTCGGCCGACGATGGCTGATGATCATCTCGGTGGTTATCTTTGCGGTGGGAAGCGCCATCGCCGGAAGTGCCAATACCACCACGGCAATCATCGCCGGACGAGCGATCCAAGGGATTGGGGGCGGAGGCATCAACATTCTCGTGGACACCGTCATCTGTGATCTGGTGCCCCTTCGCCAGAGGGGGAAGTATGTGGTACTCATGGCCTCGGTCTGGGCTGTAGGAACCACCATTGGCCCGGTTCTTGGTGGTGCCTTTGCGCAGTATGTCTCCTGGCGCTGGGTCTTCTACATTAACTTGCCCCTGTGCGGTGTGTCGCTTTTTCTGCTCGTACTCTTCCTTCGTGTTAACCATCCGCCCCGACCACCCAACACAACCCTCGGGCAACAGTTCGGGCGCGTGGATCTACTGGGCAATACCATCCTCACCTTGGCTGTGGTGGCCATTCTGCTGGCATTGACCTGGGCGGGAACTGCCTACCCCTGGTCCTCGGGGCGGATTTTGGTGCCTCTGTTTCTTGGATTTGCGGGCCTGGTCCTCTTCTGCATCCACCAAGCCTCGCGCTTCTGTCGGGATCCTTCCATCCCGCTCCAGCTCTTCTCCAGTGCAACCGCTCTCTGTGCCCTCTGGCTCTCCTTCCTTCAGAACCTGCTCCTCTACTGGGTGGGCTATCTCCTGCCCGTCTATTTCCAGGCTCTCTGCAGCCTGTCCGCCACTGCTTCCGGCCTTGCTGTCCTCACCATCACAGCAGCCATTGCATCTTTCGGCGTGATCACCGGCGTTTTGATCGCAATGCAGGGGAAATACCGCCCCTTCCACTTCCTGGGGTATCTTTGTGTGACAATCGGGGTCGGCTTGTTCTCTGTCCTCAATAATAACTCCCCCGCCCGGGACTTGGCCGGTTTCCAGGTTCTCTTCGGGGTTGGGTTGGGTATGATCTTCTCCTCCACCTCGCCGCCTATCCAGGCTGTTCTACCAGAGTCCGAGGTAGCGACGGCGACGGCGACGTGGGCATTCGTTCGGAGTCTGGGGTGTATCTGGGGCATTGCGATTCCGACATCCATCTTCAATACGAGAGTGCAACGGATGCTCAGCGTCGTGAGTGATCTCACATTGAGAGAGAGGTTGGCAAATGGAGGCGCGTATGCTTTGGCCGCGGAGGGGTTGATTAAAAGCCTCAAAGGTCAGGCGAAGCTGCAGAGTGAGGTCTTGAGGTTGTACGAGGATGGATTGCGTTGGGTATGGTGGATGGCGGTTCCATTCGGTTTCACTGGGCTCTTGTTGTGTTTCCCTGTTCGCGAGGCAAAGCTGAGAGAAGAATTGGTGACCGAGTTTGGCTTCCGAGAGTGATTGATAACACTACACATTGACACCCCTAACATATAAATTACTAGAAGAACAGCAACACAGGCTCCTGCATCCCGATCACCAGTCCAAGATAAAACTGATGGGTCAATGCAGCCAACCTTCTCACTCTGGCTCTAAGTAACGATAGATAGAATATTGAGATCATGACCACTGTCACCAAATGGTCACATCTGTATCGTGCATATGAAGAAGAGCTACGAAGCGAGTACAAACCAAGCGCTTCCGGCCGTATTCCGAGAGCGCTCATCTACGTTTTTGGGGAGCACTGGCAGGCCAGTAAATGATTGGGCCGATTCTAGAAAGGTTCGACAAAGGAAAGCAACTCCTATCCTACGCCTTCGGCAAGTCCTCTACCGTGTGTACGTCGGTCGAGCCGATCGCTAGCTCAACCATACTATTTGAATAAGGTATCAGTTCGATAAACTCATCGCCGGATATCTTTTGTCCCAACACCATTGCTTCATGCTGAAGTAGTGGATCTAGTGGTGAACACAACCGAAGGGGTCACGAATTATTGAGGTCTGCACGGACGTCACAGTGTATTGATCGTTAGTGACTGGAAACTGGAATGACGATCATACGCGTATACAATGCAGTACAGAGCTCATTGGTCGCTCGCACATGACAGCTGATCTCCTGACCCCTATTCACAGAGAAAGGTAGTATGATGGATTATTCCAGACCTATGCAATATTGCACCATCTTCAAATCTACTTGCATAGCTAAAGCTCCCTGGTGGACCACTGATAGTAGATCGGGGGTACCTTCTTACAGACTGGAATTCTCGCTCTTTTGCAACCCTACTTGCAGCACATCATCACTCCTTCCCAGGCCTGAAGCCTAATAGTTGCTCCGTCGCCAACGGCAATGCTCCTTTGGAGGGAAGAAGATGCCATCCAATCCACCTCTAGCGACCCAGGGATCTTCCAGGCTACGTTCTCGCCAGTCCAATTCATCACGACCAGCCACTTTTGTTGCGTCTGAGCACCTGTCCTCAGGTATGCATAGATTTGCTCATTGTCCAAGTCCACGTCCTGGTAGTCGCCATACACAAAGACATCTTTATACGTCTTGCGGTTGCGTAGAGCGAGCTGCCAGTATTGCCAGACAGAGAGGTCCTGGCTTTCGCATTCCATCTGCGCTTTCACATTAACCGTCCCAAAGTCATCATTCACTCTCATCCATGGTGTCATGTTGGATGCTGCAAATCCTGCATTGGGCTCGTCGCTCCACTGCATTGGCGATCGGGCGTGGTCCCTGGCTTTTTTTTGAAGAAGCTCTCTTGCCTTTTTCATTTGTTTCGGATCGTCGGAATAGAGCCTTTTCGTCTTCTGCCAAAAGTTGATGCTCTCTATATCCTTGTAGTCCACATCAGGATTCCAGTCCGCTGAAAAGTTTCGCATCCCAATCTCTTGACCCTGGTAGAGATACAAGGTACCACCGAGAGTGGATTGCCAAAGCGCCAGTAGCTTGCCACCACGCGCGCGGGACTTGTCGCTGTCGTCCACGTAGCGCGACACAGAGCGAGCCTGATCGTGGCACTCCAAAAAGAGTGCATTCCATCCATCCCATGCGATCATGTTTCTTTGCCAACCGGAGAAGATCTGTTTGAGCTCTGTCAATTTCCAGTCGCGCAAACTCCATTTCGAATCTCCTTTGGTCTTGACATCCGCAATTTCCATGTGGTCAAAGATGAAGATCATATTCAGTTCTTTGGCAGTTGCTCCGACGGTCTTGATGATTTCACTTATGTCGCTGACGTAGGCTGTTTCCCCGACGGTCATGGTGTCATACCCTGAGAGAACATTCTCGTATATCCCATGCATGAACTCGTGGAAGCGCGGCCCATTAGTGTAGAATCTCTCTCCGGGTTGGAACTGGCAACTGGGGTCGACGACTGGGGCATCGGGGAATGAAGGATCCTTTGAAATCAGATTGATCACGTCCATTCGAAATCCTGACACTCCTCGGCTCAACCAAAAGTGCATAACCTAGAGGAATCGGTCAGCCAGACTCAGATCAAATGACACCGAATGAGGGTGGAGATACATCGTGAACGGCAGCGACCACATCGGGATTCTCCCAGTTCAGATCGACCTGTTCCGGAGTATGGAGAGTCAAATAGAATTCCTGGGTTGTTTCGCTCCAGGTCCAAGCGCTATGGGAGTCGTTCAAGATTTGGGCCCAATTGTTCGGAGGCAAAGGGTTCCCCACAGAATCATATTCGCGCGGCGGCTTCCAGATGTACCAATCGCGCTTTGAGGAGTTTTTCGACCGAGCGGATTCGATAAACCAGTCATGCTGATCTGAGGTATGAGTGACGACGAGATCCATCATAAGCTTCATATTGTGTTTGTGGAGAGCTTCGATCAGCAAGTCGACATCGGCCATGGTTCCATAGCGCGGGTCGATTTCTTTATAGTCCGATATATCGTAGCCCATATCGACCTGCGGAGATTTGTAAACTAGACGATGATGTTACATTAGCAACTGAGAAAAAGATGGCAGCTATCGACACCGGGCCTCTTTGTGCCGTGCCCAAGGGTATAGATGAAGACGCTCCCTACTAGGACTGGTCCAGACAACATCCACTCCCAGGCTCTTCAAATATGGCACCTTCGCCGTCATGCCACGCACATCGCCCCAGCCATCTGCCTCAGATGGAGGTTTGCTGCTCTTGAAACTTGCGGGATAGACTTGGTAAACCACCGCTTCCTTCCACCACTTTGGGGTTGCATAATTGGAAGATGTCATTCTTGTAACCTCGGGGTTAATGATTAGAAGGCCTATACGACTGTTTCATGGAAGAGGTTCATAGCCAAACTTCACGATTGCACCTACCAACCACCGGGTAAGAAGTTCTCAACCGTTGTGTGTGGCGTGTCGGGGTAGGACTAAATATAGTCAGACAACATCCTCTAGCTTTCGCCCCACGAGGACCGCAAAGTCTACTACTACAGCCCCATCATGGATACATCCTTGATACTGACACCCATGACACCCACTAGGACCAACCAGCCCTGCAATGTGATTAATCCTACCGGAAAGAGGGACACATAAGCTTGCGGGCGCGGAAGCCTGCAGTGGAGCATCCCGCCACCCCCCGGGGCAACCTAAGGTCGGACCGGAGTGAATTCTCGGTCGCTACGTCGTCACCTGACCGGATGGAACCATCCTTCATTGGCCGGATAACCACTCTGCGATAAGCGCGGCTTTTCTTTCGATGCAATAGGCCTAGCGCTGAACTCTAGTAATGCACGGTTTGGCACTGAAACTTCACATCATGGATCAAATGCATGCTTCCCTTGGTCTCCAAGTTCCAACCACGAGACAAAACAGGTTTAGATAGCGGGGCACCGGCGGTCATCGCGCCAACGTGCTGTATGGGACGGTACAAAAGGAGGAAATGAGTTTGCAACTGCCGCCCCGCCCCGCGCTCCCCCCGGGTCCACTCATTTCCAATGCAGATAGGTGCTCAGCTGCCTACGTCTCCCGCGTCCCCGTGATTTGTGTTTTTTTTATGGTGGGTTATTACTGGGTAAAAGTCACTAGGTACCCCGTAGGTCTCTTGCCATGGTCCTTCAATTGGTTGATGCGGCCGAGGCTGCAATGCCGTGCACAACAAGGGAAGCAAGAGAACGCTTCCGATTCCCCGGTGAGCTGTCAACCAATAAATGAATAGATGAAAGATCTCAACAATTGTGCTATCGAGTGGGACTGTAGTGTACAGAGCATGCACACAGAAAGATAACCGGCAGCGGAAACCTAATCCCAGACGGCAACGAAGAGAAAGAAAAACACAAACCCAAGCTTCGGGGAGACTAGATCCAGATGAGATGGGTAAAGAAGCGGCAGCAGGACGACCCCCGGTCAGAGGGGTTCCTCGTCCCCAAGTCAAGTTAGACGGTTATACTGACCGGTTGCCCCCCAAGAATCAGTGGGAGATCAATATGTCACTAAGGTGGCAAACCAATCCTCAAATAGTTCGACCTTCTTGTTCCAGGCAATAGGAATCTGGCCCCATCCATTACCCACATGCTGGACCAGTTTGGAGGCATTCACTGCGGGCCACGCGACCGTACCTTGAGCCTGCGTGTTAGGATTTCCCGTCTTGATGAAGCTGGCCCAATAGTCGTTCATCTTGTTGGCGATAGCGTAGTCCTCGGCGGTCCAGGGCTTGTCGGTGGCATAGAGATTGTTCAGCACGTAATTGATCTCCGACTCGTGATAGGCGCCGGAAGTCTGACCGGGGGGCGCGTGATCCCAGAAGTAGTTCCAAACGGGGCTGCTCTTAGCAGTATACCACATCTGAGTCCACAGCCAGGTACCCACCCTGGATCGGTCAGTAAACATGGAATTATATGCCCCTGATGCGGTTGTCGAGTCATTCGCCGGATAAAGACTCAGAAACCGGTCCACCCATTCCCCACTGTACGTTTCGTTGAGGTCCTGCAGATATTCCGCGAGCAAAATATCAAGGCCGTAGGTCGCACCATTCTCGTCCTTGTTGTTTCCAGTGATGACTGGGACGTCGTGGGCCAGACCTTTCATGAGGATGTTGAGGTAGGTGTCCGGCATCGCGTAATAATCCAGGACGGCCTCAAACATGATCGTGTCATCACGGGTCGTGCCGGTCGCTCCGTCGATCAATGCCTGCATGCTGAGGTTGCGGGCTTCGGCGATGCTGGAAACTCCCAAGTTCGACAGGTAGGCATCACCGTCCTTCAGCGCATCTTCCAGCGTGGTGTAGGCTTCCGCGAGGCTGGTGCACAGGGGGTCGTGGGGGTCCCGGACACCACTCTCAATGATGGCGCCGACAATCAGATCGCGGGTCAGATTGCTGTACAAAATGTGCTGAGTAGCTGCGGAGCCAGCGGATTGGCCTTGGACGGTAATGTGATTCGGATCACCTCCAAAGGCCTCAATATTGGCATGGATCCATTTCAAGGCGGCGAACTGATCCAGCATTCCCCAATTGCCTGAGCTATTGGACCCAGTCACCTGCTCGAATTCCTCCGAGAGCTCGGAGTGGGCGAGCCAACCAAACGAACCAGTGCGGTAGTTATAATTGACAAAGACGATTCCCTTGTCCGCCATACCACCGCCGTCGAAGAGAGGATCGGCCGCAGTCGACTCGGCGGGATAACTCCACATGACCACGGGAAGCTTCGCATCGGTGGAGTTGGCCGGACTCCAGATATTGAGGTTGAGGCAGTCCTCATCAATGGTGTAGCTATTATCTCCGGTGGTGGCTGAGGGACAGACAGGGCCCCAGTTGCGCGCATCCAGCGTCTGGTTCCATGGGCTTGCGGGCTGCGGCGCTTTCCAGCGGTTGGCCCCTCCGGTGCTCGCAGCAAATGGAATGCCCTTCCACACGGTGATGTCTTTCCAGTGCGTTAGGTTGCCAGTATTGCTGCTGTCGAAAGCTGGATAACCCTGGACCGAGCCATATTTGGTCTCGATCACGGTGTCGTAGAGCGCCGCGGAAGAAACAGATATGAGACCACAAAGCGTGGGGAGTGTATTGCGAAGCATCCTTTCAAGACCTCAAAGGGGGCAGGCAGGATTAATCAAGAGAATGTAAAGATCAATGTTGTGCGCTTGGGATTCTAAGCACCACTGAGCGGGGAACTTGAGTATTATAGTCTCTCCGACTGCCATTCCCGACTCCCTGCTTGCGCTGAATTCCTGGACCGTGCGAGGTCTTCGTTACGAAGTCAACTATATCCTCCAGTCGGTGACAATGCATGCACTATACCTGAGAAGAGAGGATTGCGTCAACTCCATTATTATCATCATCATGGCCTACTGATAGATAGGTTTCAATTGTGCTAGCCAGGCTGGGTTCTGCATGAACGGAGATGAAGCTTGCGTAACTCATCAGCACGGGAGCATGCAAAAGGGAAAGGCCTACGCGGCGCCGGGTAAACATCCGGCGATCAGGATGCTATCCAATGGGTGATCTCTCCGCAGTGTCCAGAAGGCTTGGTGATGAAGTCAATTTTACCCTGCGACCTCCGATCGAGCCATAAATCAGTGGGTCCATTTTGCCTATCAGGAAGTTTTCGGGAGGTTAAGGCGGAGGCTAAGGCTACCTTACCTAGCTATTTCCATTGATGTGGATGCGAGGTGCTTTCGATCTTGGTTTGATCTTCGACGGCATCTCACATCACGTACGCGTCCTACCTTAGCTGAAACCTTCAAGGTTCGCGTCCAGGTTCTCCGTGCCTGAGGAGGTCCAAACCGTTCCACCCGCATCCTATATGAAAGACCACGAGTAACAGCGGCGTCCAGTTCAGATGTTTGACCACCGGCTTGCCACTTTTCTACACCCCATCCATACTCTATTGTTGTTGACCCGGATTTTGCCACCATGAAAGGCTGTCTTGCCTTAGCGACGGCGGTGGGTGCTGCGCATGCTTCTAGTCTCGTTGATATTTGCACCGATGCCTACATCAAGGCCGCCTTGCCCGCCGAGGACACCTTTCAGGGTATCTCCATGATCTCCAGCTCGGTCTCAACCAAGCTCCATTCCAACGTGTCCATCAGCAGCTCCAACTTCTTTCCCGCTGCTACCATCAGCTACTGCGATGTCAGCTTCAACTACACCCACATTGGCCGGAATGATCGGGTGGCTCTCACCTACTGGATGCCCGCCCCAGCCGACTTCCAGAATCGGTTCCTCACCACCGGAGGCGAGGCCTACGAGATCAACGAGGATTCCGGCACCTCTGGCTCCTTACCGGGCGGTGTTATGTACGGGGCAGTCTCCGGTCTTACCGACGGTGGCTTCAATGGGCAATCTTTTGACGATGTCTTCCTTCTCGCCAATGGCACTGTCGACTGGCAAAACACCTTTATGTTCGGCTAACGAGGGATCCACGAGATGATGGAAATCGGCCGTGAACTCACCCGCAATGTGTACAACACTGGGGAGAAGAAGGTCTACACCTACTACCAATCATGCTCCGAGGGGGGTCGTGAAGGCTGGTCCCAGGCCCAGCGGTACGGCTTTGACTACGACGGCATTATCGTCGGCGCGCCTGCCTTCCGTTTTGCCCATCAGCAGATTAATCATCTTGTGCCCAACGTGGTAACCCAGACGATGAATTATTATCCGCCCCCTTGTGAGTTGGAGCTGATTGTCAACGCCACCATCGCTGCCTGCGATCCGCTGGATGGCCGCGCAGATGGGGTCATCGCCCGCTCGGACCTGTGCAAACTGCACTTCAATTTCACCTCCTTGATCGGCGCCCCTTACTACTGCGCGGCCAGTTCAGGCGGGAGCAGTCTGGGTCTCGGGTTCAGCAAGCGGCAGTCCATGGGCGCGACCCCGGCACAGAATGGCACCGTCACTGCAGAGGCAGTACAATTGGTTCAAACGCTGCTCGCCGGCTTGAAAGACAACCAGGGCCGTCAAGCCTACTTGTACTTCCAACCCGGGGCGGACTTTGACGATGTTGAAACCACCTACGACACGCAGACCGACGCCTGGGGCCTTAGTATTGATGGTAATGGGGGCGAGTTTGTGGCCCGGTTTCTGAACCTGCAGGATGTGAGCTCGCTGTCTTCTCTCGACAATATTACTTATGACACTATCCGCGACTGGATGCAGATGGGGTGGACCATGTACGAAGATACCCTGATGACCCACAACCCCGATCTCAGTGTCCTCCAGTAGGCTGGAGGCAAGGTCCTGCATTTTCACGGCGAACAGGACCCTAGCGTGCCTACTGCCTCCTCCGTCCATTATTACGAGGCGGTCCGCAAGATTATGTTCCCTAACGAGACTCTAAACACGAGTGCCGCCGCCCTGGGCGAATTCTATCGGCTCTATCTTGTCCCCGGCATGGCCCACTGCGGCACCAACAGTGAACAGCCAAACGGACCCTTCCCCCAAACGAACCTGGCCGTCATGATCGATTGGGTTGAGAACGGTGTGGTCCCCGTGACGTTGAACTCAACAGTTCTCCAGGGAGACAATGAAGGTGAGCACCAACAAATCTGTGCTTGGCCACTCCGCCCTCTCTGGTCCAACAACGGGACAACTATGAATTGTGTGTTCGACCAGGCCTCGTACGACACGTGGATCTACGATTTTGACGCCTACAAACTTCCTCTGTACTAAGAGGAAGATATCCGTCGGCTTCAGTTGTTGGGTGTTTCCAGGGATTCGAGGGGTCGATAACTCTCAGGCTCGCATGGTCGTTCGCTTTTGCATCTACCACATTTTGGTAGCCTCTGGCACTACGTTCCTCGGTGATAACCCACAATGGGCTATGCCCTCAATTCCTCTTCCTTCTCCCACCCCTCGAAACTTTTGTTTGCAATCTTTCGATATCCGTGCCCATATATTACAGTATAGACAACCCAAGATAGGTCGAGACTGAATGGTAGCATTGCCTCTTGAATTTAGCTGCTATTCTAAATTCATGAATATCACCAGCTGCTTAATTAATACCAATAAACGCACCAGAGCGACATTGCTCCCAGTTACAGAGATCCATGGTCACAACCACCCTCGGTGTCGGTGACGTTAAGGAAGATTTGGTAATTAGACTTGAGTTATAAGCCCTCAGTCGGCAACGCAATGGCCAAATCGCTTAGATCGACCAGCCCCACACCAGACCTGGGTTCAGTTGGGTTGGGTGAAGGGGAGTTCCGTACAGGGTCATTGGGCTGTTGTTGTATTTCCTAGTTCGCGAGGTGAAGCCGATGAAAGAGTTGATTACTGAGTCTGACGTCCAGGAGCAGGACCCTCATGCTGGGTCTCAAGCTGGTTGAATAACGCAAAATGGTAGAGAAGAGGAAGATGTATGCCGATCTGTTCTTCGACCTTGAAGTTGAGCAAGGTTGCATAAGGGGCATAAGAAGCTCTTGGAACATGTATATAGGTTACTTGATGAAACCAGAGCAATCACTCGGTACCCATAGAGTCTACCCCCTACACCTAAATATTCGCGGATCAAAACGGGGAGATGGCTTCCTTATGTTAGTTCATACTGGTTGCTGAACTAGAAGATTTTTCGACGTCTCAATAGTCCTCCAGGCTGGACCATCTTCTTTCCAATTTTAGTAAAAAGCGCTGTTTTCAATCCTATTCCAGCACTTGACCTCAAGTTGATAATTACTCGACTTCCTGTTTCCTCATCAGGGCATGCGACTCCAGAGTTCTTGTAATCCCAAGACTATTAATGTGACTCAAAAGTTTCTGTTCCACATCCTCAAGCACGGCTGAGCCATCGTCACTTTGCAAGCTTCCCCAAGTGAGCTTCATTCGAAAGACATAATACTCCTTGCATGTGAGCTTCTTTGTCTCCATACTCTCAGGCGCCTCGAGAGATCTGAGGTTCGTGGCTACCAGTTCATGCGGTTAGCATGAAGCACTTTTCACGAAGGAAAACACGAGACAAAACTCAATCTTCGCGCCAAAAGAGTGGTCCAGCACTTACTAAAATTGGGGTGAACGAAATACGGCATGCTGTAGCGGTCCTGGTTCACCCGGGACCTTTTCCCATGAGATACGATGCATGGTTGACTTGAGTTGCTTGCCGGTCCATACAGAAAGAGCGTCACCGATGTTAATGACAATACCTCCTGGGAGCTGAGGGACTTTGTGCCAGTGATCTTGGGGATCTGAAACCTTCAACCCTGGGGAATCAGTGAACAAAAGCGTGATGCTGCCCTAGTCGGTGTGTTCGGTGAGACGGGAACTGCATCGTCCGACTTGATAGCCAACTTCGGGTATTTGATAAATTTCAGGGTGTTCCCGGGAAGCCCATCCTTGTGTGACGAGGTAAAGAAGTCCTTCGGTAGGCCCATAAGCCATGCAAAGCAGGACAGTACCTTGACTGTGAGGTCATTGCACTGAGCCTTAAATGCTTCAATCTTGGTCAGACGATGCAAGTCCCACCAAGAGTGGAGATTGTCACTCTTAAACAATTGGCCAGTCGGCAGCCCAAAGCTCATGCCCCTCCGAAACAGCAAACCTGATGGACGTATTCCGTCAGTTCTACTTCTCAGACAGCCTGGGCAAAAGGCCTTTCAGATTGATTACACACGTAGTAGCCTTGTGCCCATCATAGCCACCTGGATCTTTCTTTATGGTTCTCTGCGTCTTGATGCTTCAGGGAGCCTGAAGAATGCACACGACTGTCTGATAATGTCCGCGTTAATCTTGCTTGCCATATGCTTGCCATATAGTGCGGCTCGTTTGAGGCACCATTTCGAACATCCTCTCTGCATCATTGATTCCATGATCTGTCACAATAAAAAAGCCCCATCCCGGGCTCGCTTTGAAGATCTGCTTGGCAAGGCTTGGAAGGTCCGACTCAAAGTCTCTCAAACTGATAATAGGAAACCCCATGGTTGGCCGTGGTCTGATCGTGGTGGGGCTTGAATGGTTTAAATGATAGTGGAGAGGTTGTGTAGCAGTGGATAGGGTAAGGAGGTGGAAATATATAGTTAGACTTCTATAACTGCACTGTTGATATCGCTGTTATTGTGGCTCTTATCGTTCACCTTTTCGGCCATAAGCCACTACTTACAGCTCTTATTGGTCTTTTTGTCCGCGGCCGAGCGTCGACCCCTTTGCTTTCACCTGTCCGACTGGATCTCTCCGTAGAGATTTACCCCTTTACTCGATCTTGATCTCTGGATGTGGATCCTATTTAGGCTATCATGATAGACCCTGATAACATATCTGCAGATTGGTCGGGACGCGCACATGATAATTCGGCCACATTCTAGTTGGGTAACCTATTCAAGGTCTGGATTTGATAAGTAGAAGAACATCAACGATTTTGCCTTCCCTACAGCCGTCAAGCAAGCGAAATCGGTTATGCAAACTGCAGCTTCTCGAGTGCACAAGATGGACAAGCTCAGCTATCGAAAATGGCCTTTCAAATCCTGGAGACTGGCTAAAGAGCAAAGTAGCCTGGCTCCTCCAGGTATCAGAAGCAACCAAGGTATTGTTCCATGCATAAGACCAGTACGGCACAGACTAAGTTGAGCGTGCTTTTAGACTTGGACTCTATCCCTCCTCAACAGATGACATGGAATGGACTTGACTTTGCCAATTATTGGATCCCGGACTTGGTCAATATCACAAGCTGGTCCGTCGGAACCGCTCCACTTCTTGTAGGCTTAAGCACAATTGATACCGTCATCATCCTTTTCCTCTCCGGTATTTGCAACGCCATTCCTACGATTCTCAATGGATACGTGGGAAGTGATTACCATAATCCTTTCCTAATCGCAATCCGGTCAAGCTTCGGCTATTACCGTGGGTACTTTCCGCCTTTCTCTCGCGCTGCTCTGTCAGCAGTTTGGCTCGGAGTAAACCGCTATTACGGACTCTTTGGAATGACCGAGGTGAGGTTGTCCAAGGCCCTTTGTACCACGGAACTTTGTGGTATGGGACTTTTCATAGGCGCGGACAATCATCTCTGCGGCTGCCTTACTCGCTGCGTATGGATTGGTTGGATTCAGGGGCTGATTTTCGCTAGAGGCGAAACACCTTTCAGGGTCATTCTCACCATAGACCTCATCAGTCGAGACATAGACGAATCTGTGGACGGAGCCTATCGACTTTGCGGCCTCGAGTAATATCTGCGTCCCGACGACGTTGGTGGTTGTATAGGCTAGCGGGTTGGAGAATGACTGGTCGACTCGAGATCGAGCAGCAAAATGAACAACCGCGTCAACCCTGTAACTCTTCATTGCAGCCATGACATCCGAAAATCTGCATATATCACCTTTCACAATGCAGAAAGCCGGGTGCTGGTCAATGGTTGCGAGGTTATCCAAGGAGGCGCAAGACTCCAAATTGTCGAACCCGATCACTCGATAGTGGCTTGCGTAGGCGTGGACTATCATGCGAACATACCATCCACCACTGAAAGCATCACAATGATTTGTGTTAGTTATGGCTGAATCATACGGCCAGACCCAGGGCAATGACTCTTACATAACACCAGCACACCCCGTTACAAGGATATTTTTCACATTTGGTAGAGGATTATATGTTGGGCAGTCACCCTGTGGAGGTACTGTATCCTTCATCGACAAAGGTTGAAGGTATTTCTTCTCATTCACGGTTGCTATCTCGCGAGAACAGTGGGTTTGCTATTCTGCGCTATAGCCATGTTTCAGCGCTGTGTTACAGAGTCCGATTCCTGCCCGAATGGATTGTACAGACCTACAGTACAGTTGATGCGCGTTGACCCTTCCTCCCAACAGGCAGACGCACTCTCAAGTTTGTGTCATGTACTAGGATAGGAACGGACATCCATGACATCGGCCATATATGATGCCCTGGTTGGTCTCAACGCTGGTAAGTATGGAGTAGCCGATGATCAGAAAGAAAGATTATGAATGTGCAGAACGGAGAAAGAATGCTCCAGGTTTCTCAATGAGTACCCAAGCAAGGTTTTTGTCGACAATGCCTATGACAGTCTGAATGTTCTCGGAGTACAGAATAAAAACCTAAACCAGAAGAATAGTTTAAGTTTGAAGGTGGAAAATGGATAAAAAAGCACACCCCTGTTCAATAATCCCTTCAGAGGCCTGCTGAGAGTTTGAGCTTAACCCCCGTGTCGACACGCTTCCTATCCGTGCCATAACTGCTTACTGTAGGCCGACCAAATTGACTGTCGACACTTGACCTATGAGTTCTGCGGGCTCCGTCGGTATTAACTGACAGAATTGACTATGTCGCGACCGGTGCTGTTATGCTACTAGCGACCAACAATTTGTTTTTCGTAAGTTTGGTAATACTTGGTCTGGTCTTCGCCCCTTGTCTTCCCATCTCATCAACCAACCTGGACAGAATCAAGGCGCACATGAGGCCAAACTTCCAGCGGGGTCGTCCCTCTTGTGCTGGGTGCTCAGACTCGGTCGACCCGAGTACTCCCAACATTTATACCCCGAGGATTGGAGGCAAACAAGCGTTTCTTGCTAGCTGAACAATTGAGGGCGACGACCTCAACGCAGAAAAGAATGAGTGAGATCCACTTGATTGCTACTCTCCGCCCTGCACCCGGCAAGGAAGCCCAGGTTAGCTTTTGATTTCACGTTCTCCTCAAGCGCTAGACTAACATAGCCAGCTGCGCGAGATCCTACGCGAAACAACGGCCCACGTCACTCACGTTGAGAAAGATTGTTTGTCGTTTCTGCTGACAGAAATGACTGATGGCAATGGTAGACAAAGTCATCGAGAGGTTCGTCCAGATAAGTCTTTTCTTTGGCCATGGGAAAGCAGGTTACACCAGCTGACTCGGCACATGTCTAGATGGGCCAATGCGGAAGCCCTGGTTCGCCATCATCAACGAGAGTGGTTGAAGACCATGTACCAGCAATTTGAAGCCGGGGAACTGCTGGAGGGACCGGAAATGATCGAGTCCCTGCTATTTGTCGATGGCTTTGTGTCACGATGAGTACATAAGGTCCGATTGAATTCATGCCGTAGTTTGCACCTCGTATTAGCGTTACCTACCTAGTAGTAGGACTTTCATTCCAGTCTCAACGCGTGCCTGTTTATTTACCTAAAGGCTAGCGCCCGGCATGAGTGCTACTGTTTAAACATCTTCCGTCCTAGGAGATCTGTTTCCTTTTTGACTGTATCTATCATGCGTTCGTCCGCAAGCTGACAGTCTTCTCCTATTTTTGTGATTGTAGTTGTGTGTGTCGCGGTGTTTACCGATATCTTTCTCTATGGATTAATTGTGCCTGTGCTGCCCTTTGCACTGGAGGAAAGAATTGGGCTCAGTGGCAAACATGTCCGGCGATGGACCTCCATTCTGTTGGCCGTCTACGGTGGATCCATTCTTATCGGGTCCGGTATGTGCACACATTTTCCTTGCAGCGTTTGCCCGGATGCCTGCTAACCTTGACTATTGAATCTGAACAGTGTTCGCCGGATGGATTGGGGACCAAGCATGCAAGAAGACGAGACAGCTGCCGTTCCTAGCCGGTATGCTAATTGCTGGGGGTGCGACACTGCTATTCTCACTCAGTAGATCCCTGGGTTGGGTCCTGATTGCGAGGGTACTGCAAGGTCTCTCAACCGCTCTTATCTTTACAATTGGATATAGCCTTCTTTTGGATACAGATGGCAATGGGCGCATAGGACAGGCCCTTGGGTTTACTAGCATGAGTCTCAGTTTAGGTTTTTCACCGGGCCGATTGTAGGAGGCTTCATCTACGATTTCGCAGGCTATTTCGCTGTCTTTGGACCTGCTTTTGCGTTGATTATCCTTGAGATTGGTCTACGGTTGCTCCTGCAACCTACGGTCCATCACACAACACAAACGCCATGCATCGTTCAGGCTGACGAGCATTCATCTTTAATATCTAGCAGACCGGTTTCCAATGCTAATGACGACCCAAACGGTCTGAGCACTGCCCAACATCAATCAGCATCGTCCCTGGTGACCCTCCTACACTCTCCACGCTTTGCAGTGGCGATAAGGGGATGGCCCTCCTCAACACCTTCATGACAGCCTTCGAATCTATCTTGCCTATCTACCGGCACGAAGTCTTCGGCTACACGCCAAAGCAGATAGCCGTGGTCTTCCTGGCAAACACTCTGCCTATGGTCTTTTCTCCAATTTCTGGAGCTCTAGTAGACCGAGTAGAGTCGTTCGGGCCTGCACTGGCCGGATTCACTCTCGCGGGTCCGAGCATGATGCTCCTGGCTCTGATACAAACCAATAATTTCATCAATTCCCTCCTCCTCCGGATATTGTTGTTTCTGTTTGGGAGTAGCGTCTCGCTCGCCATGCCGGCTATGATGGCAGAGATCAGTCTAGCCACCGAAGCGGTTGAGCATGCACATCCGGGAATTTTTAGTCGAGGGGCATACTCTCAGGCGTACGGTCTCAGTAACGCTGCCTTTGCGGGGGGACATTAGCCGGGCCATTGTATGCCGGTTATATGAGAGAATGGTTTGGGTGGAAATTGATGGCAATTTCTTCGGGTGCGCTTGGTCTGGCCACGGCAGGTTTGGTTTGTGGATATACTGGAGAAGGGCGCAATGGTGAGGCCGTGCAGAGGAGAGATCTCTAAGGTCCGGCGTGCCTATTGGCCTGCTAGCAATCTCACCCCCTCCTCTCTTGACTCATCTCAAATAGAACTGCTTGGTTACTATAACGGTTGGCTTTCTGTCCAGAATGCAAACACACCCTCAATGGCGCGCTTTTGCTCCTCCTCCAACATTCCCACTTCCCACAAAAAGCTGCAACAATAGGATCTGTGCCACGGCCATTGTGGTGCCATGATCATCACCATTGAACCTCCCCGTCGCCAGCCCCATCGGGGATAAATGCAACGGCATGAATTGGGGGTGCGTCTGGATCCCTCGCATCCAGAAAGTTCATCAGCTGCTTTCGTCTTTGTGCGTCCATAAGCCTGATCCAGAAAATGTTGGCGTTATAGGTCGTATTCTTCGGAACTGTCGGCAACATCAAGTATCCCATCTCGACTAGTGGTCTGAGCGCGGAGTAATACTTCTGCCAAAGGTGGAGTCTAGACGCATTGATGGTATCTGCGGCTTGTAGTTGGGCGCAGAGAAATGCAGCCTGCAACTCGGACAAAGTGGCGTTTATCCCCAGGTCCAACCATTGGTATCGATCGACCTGACCGCGATTCGTGCCGTGCTCATAGACAATCTTCGCACGGTCATTGAGAGAAGGGTCGTTGACAAGCAGTGCACCACCCTGGCCTCCTGCGGTAAAGTTCTTCTTCTCCTGAAAACTGATACATCCTATGTGGCCTATAGTGCCGAGCATGCGGCCTTTGTAGAGTGAGGTACATGCCATGGCGGCATCCTCGACGACCAGTAACCCGTGTCTTCTGGCAAGGCTCATGATGAGATTCATATCGGCTGCAATGCCCCCGTAATGGACTGGAATTATGACCCGTGTCTTGCAAGTGATTGCATCCTCGATCAAGCGGGCATCGATATTCATGGTTCTACTGTCCAGACCCACGAAAACCGGCACCGCCCCACGTAGAACAAAAGAGTTCACGGTGGAGACATAAGTGTCGCTGGGCACGATGATTTCATCTCCCGTTGGATGTCGGCGAGGATGGCGGCCAGTTCGAGGGCGGAGGTGCACAACGACAGAACAAATGCTTTCCCTTTTGATCCCGTCGGCAAGAATTTCTCCAGCCATTGTTCGCAAAGTTGCGTATATCTGCCTTTGCCGTTGAGGTTCGAGAGCGTAAAGGCTTCTTGTATAAGCGCAATCTCAGTGCCAAGGTCTGTCGGCTTTGTGGTTGGGATTCGAGCAGGCATTGTTGCGGAGTGACCGAATGTCCATTGCTGGTTAGTCAATTCAAGTAACTACCTAGTATTTCAATTCATACTCGCTGTGACGGGGAATTACGAAAACTAGCCGGAGCTGCGATCGGCCATAAATCTCTCAAAGCCTTGGCTTTGGCTTTTACTATCACCATGAGAGTCTTGCTATATTTTCTTGTTGCCGGCGAGTGGCACCATCGCGTAAGCGGGCTACCCTTCAGCTAACACGATGTCTTGCTTTTGTTTGGCCCTCGGGGGGTTTTACAATGTGCTTAGTAGCCTTGGAAATACTCCTGTTTGACGATGAGCAAATGACCGGATTGGATGTAGCACAGATACGATGCTGGCTACTGGGCCACGGGATACACCAACGTCTCCGCCTCTTCCCCAAACCACAGTTCATTTTCCTTTCTGACCTGGTCCATGATCTTCAGGGTAGCCAGGCTCTCGTTCCAGCTCATCGTCTCACTCTCCACTCTCCCACTCCGTACACATCTCGCTAGCTCATCTGCTTCATAGACTAGCCCATACACCTGGTCCGGCATACGGTTTAGGATCTCTTTCCTCACCATGCCGATAGTGCCAAACCCTTGTTCTCTTGCAAAAATCCGGATCCTTGACGGTCGCCAGGGCCATCCAAATACTTGAATCTCTCCCTTATCGCCTTGGACACGGACACAGGGTGTCGTGCCATCCGTGTCGGTCGCACAGTGAAGAGAGGAGGCAACCATGGCCTGAACCTCATGATCGTCTTTCTCGGCCGCGAACCTCAGCAGAATAGTTGTTGTCTCGTCGACCCCGGTGCTTCTATCTTTCGTCATCCCCGAGGCTACGGCGTGCGGTGCATAATCCCTTCGCGGGCCGAGTGCCTGCAATACCCAGTTCAAAGAGTAGATCCCCACTAGAAGCATACACCCCATGCGTTAGTAGCCGGTCCAGGCCGCTCCTGAGTCTGTTAGGGCTTGACACTTACAATCGAGCAACCCTCCTCCAGCCAAGTCCAATGTGATCAGGCGATCCCCGGTCAGAAATTGGCGTTCAATCTCCATGCCCAAGCCATTGTCGGCCCACACTCTCCGGACCGTCCCAACCTCCCCGAGTACCTCGCGGAAGGCACAGCCAATGGGTTGAAATCTTGTCCACAAGCCCTCCATCACAAATAACCGCTATTCCGTTGCGGTGTTAAAGAGCGCCCTGCATTGTTCCGCATTCACTGTAATTGGCTTCTCGATCAGAACATGCTTTCCGGCCTCGAGTGCCATCATGGCATTCTGGTAGTGGTGGGAATGTGGCGTGGCAATGTAGACCGCTTCACATGAGGTGGATAGAAGGGAGGCGTAAGAGCCATAGGGGATAACGCGTTTTTGGGCGCACGGATTTTCTCCAGGAAGGTGCAAGCTGTGGATAGAGAGGTGGAGGATGCCACTCCAGTGAGGGTGTGGTCGATAGGTGAGCAAGGGCGTGAGTTGAGGATATCGAGGGCAAACTCTAGGATGAATGATCAGTCTTGTCTGACTATTCATCCCCGTGGAGGCAATTGAGAGGAGCACTCACTTTCGGCTATCCGACCTTTTGAGAGAATCCCCCAGGTCAAGATTAAGGGGGGCTGCTCTTGTGGATTCATGGTGGGGAGGGGGCTGGTCCGTGACTGAACATTGGCATGGACGCAGATCAAAAGGAGTTTGTGATGGTGCTCACCATGCATAGATATCTTTATGTGCAACGAGAAAATGCATACTGACCCATCTTGTACTGTAACTTACAGTGTACTGCGTAACTTAGTACTACCTTACAGCCGCGGGTGGGGCGGCAAGAGGGGAGGAGGAGGATTTGCTATTGGTGGGAGGCTCAATTCCGCAATACCCGCAAAGATCCCGAGTCCATCGATCCATCCGGAGGTGGACGTCATCTTCAAGTTTTGGACCTTAAGTTATCTATCTCACCACTCAATTATATTTTCACCCGTTCTCACCAGCTCCCACCAGACTACTCCGTACAGCCAGAATGGCCCACACTTATCGACTGGCAACCACCTTCTCCCGCGCGTATTCATGGGTGAAAAGCCCCTTGGTGGTCAGCGCGCCGATGCGGGTGATGGCCGGCCCCGCGTTGGCGGTCAGCGTCTCACAAGCTGGCGGCCTCGGCTTTCTGGGCCCGCGAGTGAAAACCCACGAGATGCTGGCCGACTTGCAAGACACTTCCGACCGCATCCAAGTTCTGCAACATCAATCATGGGCCGACAGTCCTGTTCTGCCGGTCGGCGTGGGGTTTCAGCTGTGGAGTGATGACCCAGAGCTTGCCATTGCCGCCGTTGAGCAGTATAAACCGTGTGCCGCATGGCTCTACGCCCCTCGCGACCCGCAACGAGACTACGACTTATGGTCGCGTCGAATTCGCACCGTCTCCGCTCAAACCCAGATCTGGATTCAGATCGGAACTCTAGCGGAGGCCAGAGCGCTGTTGCAGGGTCAGGAATTGCCCGACGTGATTGTCGTACAAGGAGCGGAGGCAGGCGGCCACGGTCGGGCTCGCGACGGACTGGGGTTGATGACTCTTCTCCCCGAGGTCGCCGACCTGGTGGCCGGTCAGATCCCTCTCTTCGCAGCGGGGGGCATTGCTGATGGGCGTGGTGCTTCGGCGGCTCTCTGTCTAGGAGCGTCCGGGGTGGTGATGGGGACCCGGTTCCTGGCCGCAGAAGAAGCCCGCATCAGTGCCGGTTACCAGCAGGAAATTGTGCGCGCCAGCGATGGGGCCGTTTCGACCACCAAGACCATGCTGTACAACCATTTACGTGGCACAATGGGCTGGCCAGCGGAGTACAGTCCCCGAACCATCATCAACCAGTCCTTCATCGAACACCAACAGGGGCGACCGTTTGAGGAGCTGAAGGAACTGCACGATCAAGCCCTCAAGGCAGGCGACAGTGGCTGGGGCCCAGCCGGTCGACTGGCCACCTACGCTGGAGCATCCATTGGCTTAATACACGAGGTCCAAAGTGCGGCAACCATAGTAAAAGAGGTGCAAGAAGAGGTAAAAGCAAAATTACCTGGGATGGTTGGAGGTGAGGAGGCAGGCGTGTAAGGTAACTTAGAGAGCAGTAGGTAGTGTGTGTCTTGTGTTTGCCCGGGTGAATTCACAAACCACCCACCACAGTTCAATACTAAGTCAATAGTCAGTCAATAAGCAGCATTGTTTGTTTGCGGGGGAGTGGGGATCTTCAAACACGGGGAATACGGGGGGTGATGACGTCACTTTCTTCTCTCTCTCTTTCTTTCTTTCTTTCCTTCATTCTGTCTCTGTTTCTCTCTGTCCCCCCCGGATCGTCAATTCTTCCTCATCCCATTATCACTTCATTTCTCATTTCTCTCCCTGTGTCAGATAACATTTGGTTCATCATCATCATTGTCAATCAAACACAACCTCCCAGGTCATGCAAGGCGACAAAGAATACTGTGGCCTCGAGGATTATGGCCTGGTGGGCGACATGCACACCTGTGCCCTGGTCAGCAAGAATGGCAGCATCGACTCCATGTGCTGGCCGGTCTTTGACTCGCCCTCCATTTTCTGTCGCATTCTCGACAAAGCAAAGGGCGGCCACTTCTCCATCACTCCCAGTCGTGGTCTGCACAATCCCCTGAGCAAGCAGCGCTACCGTCCCTACACCAATATGCTCGAGACCCGCTGGATCCACGATGAGGGAGTCATCAACATCCTCGATTACTTCCCCATCACCAAGCCCAAGTCGCCCGTCGTGGGAAGTCAAGAGCTGCCCGGGTGGTGCCATTGCAATCAGCCCAGTCTCCCCGGGGAACCCCATCATGTTTGTTATTCCGGTCTAATCCGCAAGGCGGAATGTGTGCGGGGCGAGATGGACATTGAGATTGAGATCTTTCCCGCCTTCAACTATGCCCGAGACTCTCATACCGCTCAGTTGTCGCGAGGCGATGGGGTTCATCGGGCCCACTTTCAGTCGGCGGCCCAGCGACTCCAGGTCAGTGTACTGGTCGATGCTGGGGAATTGGCCGCCGACGCACAACTGACTCCGGAACTCCGACTGTCGGAGCGACCGGGTCACCTGGGTCCGGGTTTGGTCGGCAAGATCACCTTGAAGGAAGGCCAGTCGATCACTCTACTCCTTCATGATCAGGAGTCAATCACCTCCAATGCCTTGGTGTTGGGCCCGGAGCTGAGACGGTTGGAGCGAACGACGGGCGACTTCTGGTCCGACTGGACCAGCAAATGTACCTTCCGCGGACATTACCGCGAACAGGTCGAACGAAGCCTGTTGGTTCTCAAACTACTCACCTACAAACCCACCGGTGCGATCGTGGCTGCACCGACCTTTTCCCTTCCCGAGCACATTGGGGGCAGTCGCAATTGGGACTATCGCTACTCGTGGGTGCGCGACGCGGCTTTCACGGTCTACGTCTTTCTAAAGAACGGCTACCCCGAGGAGGCCGAATCATACATCAACTTCATCTTCGATCGCATTTTCCCACCCTTGTCCCAGAACGCCAAGCCTGGAGATCCCTTCTTGCCCATCATGGTCACCATTCACGGCGAACGGGAGATCCCCGAGACGGAACTCGATCATCTCGAGGGATATCGAGGAAGCCGGCCGGTGCGAATTGGAAACGGGGCGGCCACCCATATCCAACTCGACATCTACGGGGAGCTGATGGACAGCATCTACCTGTACAACAAGCATGCAGCCGACATCTCCTACGACCACTGGCTTGCTATCCGTCGCATGGTCGACTTTGTGATTGAGGTTCGCCATCAACCCGATCAGTCCATCTGGGAAGTCCGCGGTCCTCCCCAGAACTTTGTGTATTCTAAGATCATGCTGTGGGTTGCGCTTGACCGCGGTATTCGACTGGCAGAGAAACGCTCGAATCTACCTTGTCCGGCACGGGCCCGGTGGGTGCAGGAGCGAGACGACTTGTATGACGAGATCATGACCAAGGGGTACAACGCGGAAAAAGGATTCTTCTGCATGAGCTACGAGAATCGGGATGCATTGGATGCGGCGGTTCTCATTGCTCCGCTCGTCTTCTTCATCGCTCCCAACGACCCGCGTCTCCTGAGCACGATCCAGAAGATCATGGAACCTCCAGCCCGGGGAGGATTGAGTGTCGCCAACATGGTATCGCGATACGATACGGGAAAGATTGACGATGGTGAGTGAATCATCGAGTGCGGGCGGGCGGGTTTCACTGGGCGGTACTGACACGCATAATAGGGGTGGGCGGGAACGAAGGTGCATTCCTGATGGTTACCTTCTGGCTTGTTGAAGCGATGATGCGCGTACGTACAATCTTTTTGATATTTGCTTTCGCTTCCGCTCGTCATCTAATCCGGACTTTCTGTACATCTAGGCTGCTCGATCCAAGGAGTATCTCCCTCATAATCAATTTTTCAAGCAGCTGCGGAGAACAGCTACCTCGCAGTTTGACAGTATTCTGTCATTTGCAAACCACCTGGGCATGTTTTCGGAAGAAGTGGCCTCATCAGGGGAGCAGATTGGTAACATGCCGCAAGCATTCAGTCATCTCGCCTGCGTCAGTGCCGCGATGAATCTTGGGGGTGGAGAGAAATAAAACATATTACATAGGATACAATATACAGCATACACGTTCTCTGTGTCGACATAGATTTGGTGCCGGTCGGCTGAGTGCCTCTCGTCGGCAGAAGTCTTGTAAAAATCAAACAATTTCAAAACTCAAAGCAAGCTATGTTGCGTCTTATCTCACTAACCTGACCCATGTCATCTCGTGTCTGTTTGCCATTGGCGATGCGAGTTTTTTCTTTTTCGATCCACTCGCGCTCGCAAAGCTAACTCCCACGTACGCTGACTGCCACAACCACGTACCATCAAGGGTGAAATCTCAAAACAACGACCTGTAATAGAGCATTTCTACGAGTTTTGTGATACCAGTACACCCGGACAAAGTCACTACACTTCGCGTGAGCAGTATTTGGCAGCGCCCGCTTCCCCAACCTGAATACGAGCCGAGGGACTACATCGTCATCTTAGTCAGTCATGTTTGTTTGGGCGTTTTCGAGTGACCTTTCACAGACAGCACAGGCCTACGACGATTGAACACCAGCTTTGACTGGCTTCTGTAGTGGTAGGCGATAGGTTCAGCTCGTCGCCCCGTATTGAATGTGGTAGGCCACAGTTCCGATAATATCATTGGCGAAATCGCGAGGTCGGAGATCCCTGATCCCGGAGAGAGGCTGCACATGATATCTGCTGCAGATTGCATTGTAAGGTGGGCCAGGTCGTTTAAAATGATGATGACCGCCGCCTCAGCTTTCCCCCTCGAAGTAGGTCCCAGCGTTGCGGAATCAGGCCCTTTCGTCTTCTGGAAACATCATTCTCACCCAAGATCTTCAGCATGGACGGCTTCGATGTGACTACAGCGCCGGAAGCCTACCAGGCTGTCAAGCCCATCGCGGACCTCTTCGTCCTCGGGATGGGTCTAGGCTGGACAATCAACTACATCGGCATGGTGCACGTCTCCTTCCGCGACAAGACCTATGCGATGGCGATCATACCTCTCTGTTCCAACATTGCCTGGGAAACCGTGTTCGGGTTAATCTACCCATCGAAAAGCCTTATCGAACAGGGAGTCTTCTTCGTGGGCCTGGCGATCAACTTCGCCATCATCTACGCCGCCATTAAACATGCCCCCAACGAATGGAACCACGCGCTGCTCGTCCAGCGCAACCTCGCGCTCATCTTCCTGATTGGCATCGTTATCTTCTTGACCGGATTTCTGGCACTGTCGCGCGAGATCAGCCCCTCCCTGGCCTACTCCTGGGGTGCGGTCTTCTGCCAGCTCGCGCTGAGTGCCGGGGCACTCTGCCAGTTGGTGAGCCGGGGCAGCATCCGCGGCGCCTCGTATACTCTGTGGTAAGCACCCCTGCCCTAACGATGCCTTCATGCGCTTTGGCAACGACGTACTGACAGGTTCAGGCTCTCTCGCTTCCTCGGATCCTGCTGCACGGTGGTCTTCGCTGGGCTGCGGTGGTGGTACTGGCCGGAGTCATTTGCGTGGCTGAACAGTCCCTTGGTGCTGTGGAGTCTGGCGGTGTTTCTGCTTTTGGATATCTCGTATGGGTTTTGTTATTGGTATGTTCAGCGCTGGGAGCAGATGCAGTTGGGGAAAGGGGGCGGCAAAGATAAAAGTGGATGATGGCGGATAGACTTGGGCCTGTGGATGTTGTTGCCCTGGTTATTTGCTGTTATTGCTTGCTACAAGAGGAGTCCATTGGTGGCGAGAGTGGTAAGTATGTATAAATACTGTGACCATAAATGATTATTGAGACTCGGAAATCAGGCAGAACCGTTAAACTAGACTGACTGCCAACGCAGCAATTTCTCACCGCCAGCGTCACACGATAGTAACCGGCCTGAAGTACGGAGTACCATAACTTAGTTGGTCTGAAGTAGTACTAAAGTACTAAAGTACTAAGTTAGTTTATTCCCTAGTCTCGGCCCGGAAAAGACCGATCTCCGTATTTATTTGACCGGCACGTGGCACGATTTATTGCATGATGCTAAACTCCTTTAATCAAGTTTTCCTCAAGACGTGGTCTTTTTCTCCCCAAACTAAAGGGAGAAAGGAAAAGGCTAGAAAAATCAAGATCAATCGCTAAATAAATACTAGAATTATTTATTCTGCTATCCGATCCGTTCACTTGCACATTCGACCTCCATGGCTCATCGTGCAACCACCGATCCCATCGAAGTGGATATAGGGGAGGAGAATCCCGGGGTTGGTGGGGGAAATGAATCCTCCTCGTCAACCACCTCGCTGAGCTCGAGTATCTTGAAGTATGAATACCGACATGGTCGGCGGTATCACGCCTATCAATCGGGCAGCTACCCATTCCCCAACGATCAGCCCGAACAGGACCGGCTGGACATGATCCACCACGTCTTCTACCGCTTGCTGAACCAGCGGCTGTACCTGGCGCCCATTGACCCCAGTGGACTGCGAATGCTCGACATCGGCACGGGCACGGGCGTGTGGGCGATCCAGATGGGCGACGAGAACCCAACCATCGACAAGATCGTCGGCAATGACCTGAGCCCCATCCAGCCGGCTTGGGTGCCGCCCAACGTGCATTTCGTCGTCGACGACGTCGAGAAGGACTGGGTGGGTAACAAGCCCTACGACTACATCCACTGTCGCTACATGGCCGGGTCCATCCGCGACTGGCCCCGGCTGATCCAGCAGTGCTATGACAATCTGGCGCCCGGGGGTTGGCTGGAACTGCAGGAATCAGCCAACACGCTGTATTCCGAGGATGGGAGTCTGAAGCCCGATAGCTGGATGGTGAAGATGATGGAGGGGCTACTCGAGGCCGGGGACAAGATCGGGCAGACCCTGGACCCGGCGCCGTCCTTTGAGGGTTGGGTCCGGGAGGCGGGCTTCACCAACGTCCAGAAACACGAATTCAAGCTGCCCATCGGACCGTGGCCCAAGGATGCGCGGCTGAAGGAATGTGGGAGCTTCATGGGGGTCAATTTTATCGAGGGGGTGGAGGGGTTCACCGCGCAGCTCTTCATCGATGTTTTGGGCTGGACGCAGGAAGATGTCGCTGCTCTGAACGCTGGGGTCCGGGCTGAGGCTCTGAAGGGCGCGGTTCACCCCATCTTCGATTTCTTGGTGGTGACCGCACAAAAGCCCTTGACTGCTTAGGCTGATTGTTGAGTAGGTGCAGCGGAGGTGGCGGCGCGGAATCCAACGACCGGAACGATAAACGCAAAGCTGTATGTTATGTATAGAATCTGCGATGACCTTATTATTCTTATTATTTCCCATCCCCAACCCTTCCTGTCCAAGAATGCGACCGTCAACAAAGGTTCTTCGCAAGCTTTTTTATGGATTGAGCTTTGAAGGGCTGTGAGCGGCCCGATCTATGAGAATTGTGGACTCGTAAGTTTCAAGCTTATTATAGGGCCACCCGAGAACCCCACCACCTTTCCAAGGCAGCGCAGGGGTCCATCACCAGGCCGAACTTGGACCTTATCTTTCTTGCTGTGTGAGGTTGTTCGGGATTCGTTCGGACTTGGGTCGGGCTGTCTCGGTAGAATTTTCTTTCTCTCCGACTCGATAGCCGAGGCACCGACAGCCTCCGCGGCACACAGCCTCTTGGCAGAAAACATCAGAAAACATCCACCCTTGCATGTTGGAGGTAAGCTGGAGCTACGCGAGCCCCAATCTGCGCATAACGCGCAAACGTACAATCAAAGCGTTATGTTAGAGGTCCAGCGGTTCAACATGGCTCCGGAGTACTCAACCCGACATCGGAAGAGGCTGCTTCCCTGCCGGGAGTGGGATCCCTCGTCGGCCGAATATCATACTGGTTCAGCGAGGTCTGGAGGGGATCAAAGGCAAAGTCATCACTGTACGCGAGTCGCGTCAGGTAGAGCTCGCTTTCCAACGCACAGATCTTAGCATTCAGGCGTGTGATCTCCTCGTTTTTCTCTTGGTGGGCCTTCATCAAGGCGACATGTTTCTGCTGTAGTTTCCGGTGGTGACAGGATAACGCCCGGAAGCTCTTCTCGAGTTCGCGCGATGTGAGGGTTGACGGGCTGCGCGGTCGTGACGCAGTGGCCTGCGATCCTGTCAGTATAGTTATGACCGTGTCGTGGTACAAGAACAAGGCCTCCTACTGGAGCTGTTTTTCGACTAGGCTTTGCGCTTCGCTGCTCCGAACATAGGCGCGTGCAAGCTGTGCAGCTCGTCACATCGCCAAGGTTTGCAGTTCCATTGCTTTGAACACATTCCGAGCTTACACGTGGCGGTTGCGACACCGTCTCTGACGCGCATGATGTTTGCGAATGTGTGTCAGAGGGTGTGCTCGCGAGACTTCTGCTGATACCGGATACCTGGAAGAGTTGTCAATCCGCCATCCCAGCAGGACAATCTGGCTCACTAAGGGTTAACTGACCTGACTCACGGGACTTAGAAGGGCATCATGTGCTACCGATGTCGTGACTGCGGATTCCATGTTTGTATCCACGCAAATTGAGCAGGTGTAGGGTAATGCAGTGCGAGGATGTGATCGTTCTTCCAAAGAGAGATGTCACGCATAGAACGGCCTTTCAATCTGAACTCGAGAGATCATATATAGAAAGTGTACTAAGACAACCTTGTCCCTTGCGTCATCAGGGATAAGTTAGTCAGTTAGTTTGTGAATTTGGTGCAGTCCGGAAAGTTCTCGAGCGTCTAGATTCGGCGAGAATATCGCGCATGGCCCCACAACGGGCAGACACTCCCATGCGGGTATTGCGGGCAACCTGGCCCGCAGAACAAGGGAACAAGGGAACAAGGGTCTCGAGAGACAAATGAAAAGGTGTGAATTCTAATGGAATACAAGACTCAACTGTTGGTATGAAAGTATACGCCAACGGCTGGCAACCAAGGCACACTAATGCCTCACTGACATCATATTGATCATTCTTTTTGCCGGCCGAGTATCTACATCACCTCAATACCCTCATTCCAAACCTGTTGCGTTGATGTCTATGGTTTCTTTCCGTCCAGCGCGGTCTTTTCTAAGCAAGGCAAACATACAGAAACCGCAACCTCATCATCGATCATCCCATCGTGCACGGCATTCAACATAATCAGAACCAATCATCTCCTTATTTTGTCTCTTCCACGAGCCTGGCGTACCTCATGCCGCACAGCAAGTTCTCCGCTCCGTTCGAATGGGCATAGACCCCACCAAAGAATTGCTCTGTGGCGTCTTTCCCCACCTGACTAAGAATGATCTTGGTACCACCCGGATGCTGATGTACGAATGGAGCCACATCGTAGATAATTCCCTTGAGACAGATCAAATGGTGGCCGCCGTTCGCTCTCTCGGTATACTCGGCCCAGGTCAACAGTGGAAGATCCTCAACCGGGGTTCCCCAACTGATCCCCTTGGCCTCCTGGTTCAACTTCTTCATCCTCTGCTGATGCGCGCCCATACTGACCTCATTGTCGGGGAACTGCTTCAGGTCGGACGTCATCCCAAACAAGGACAGGATGTAGATCGTCCACTTGGGGGGATCATAGTGGTACCAGCGCACTCCGCTGCGGTAGTCCATGGGAAACTCGTGGTGGTAGTTGTGGTAGCCCTCGCCTCCGGTCAGGAAGGAGGTGATGACGCTGTCGCGCGGCGAGTGTCGGTCGGAGTAGGTCTGGTCACCGAGACTGTGGGCGATGGAGTTGATAAAGAAGGTGCTCTGTTGGACAATGAACATCCGGATGGCACCGGCGTACACCAGGCCGCCCCACCAGTCGTCCCAGAGTAGCCCCGCGAAGACTGTGGGCAAGATGAACGCAGTGAGCACGAACAGCGACATGTAGTTGCGCCGCTGCCACATCACAATCTTGTCGTTCTTGAGGTCGGACACGTCGGTGCGCCCGGTGAGGCTGCGGTCCTGCGTGAAGATGATCCAGCCGAAGTGGGCATAGAACAGGCCCTTGTGCACGCTGTACGGATCCTGATCAGTGTCTGTGAAGCGGTGGTGGGCACGATGGTCACGCGCCCACGTGTAGGCATTGCCTTCGCCAACGGATGCTGCGAAGAAAGCGAGGAAGAACCGCGTTACTGTGGTTGCGGTGTAGGCGCGGTGAGACCAGAGCCGGTGGTAACCTGTCTGTAGATTAGTTTTGCACGATCTTCGGGTCAAGGAGAATGAAAGTGCTGACACACCTGCTGAAAGACTTATCCCACTGATAAAATAATAGACGATCGTGAGGATAGCCGTCTTCTTGTGCAAGGGAACCTGAGTGGCTCCAATGAACCCGAGCAAAGGAATACCCCAGATGATGAACATCCGGAACCACTCCAGACGCTTGAACCAATGGATCTCATTGAGCGGCTCGGCTGGAGGCTCTTTCCTCTCGGCCAGCATTTCTTTTTCTTGCACCGTCATTTTGGGGATTGTGAGACGAGAATTGGCGTCAGTCGATCAGTCAGTCCTGTCGCTGCAGATCGTGGTTTCAATATAGAACTCGAGAGCGCTGCAAGTTATGTACAAGAAGTGAGCCCAGTCTCACAAGCAAAACATCCCACAATCCGTCATTCCTGGGAGATACTTCGTGCAAGATTCGTTTGTCATGTCAACCACTGCAAGGCTGTTTGGGGTGGCATCTGGCAAGATGGACCCTCTGATCCGCAAATCCTTCAATCCCCAAATCCTTTCCCTGCAACCAAACAACGGCCAATTGATTTCTTCTCTGATTCCCAGATTGCTATGAGAAGAAGATAGACGCAAGAGTCTTTTCTAAAGCCACACTCGGCTTTCGATTTTCTCCTCATTCGAAGCTGAAGCCAGGCTATATTCAACCCAGGGTTGTATCTTGCCCCATCACATACCAAGTCAATCAACCCGCCAAACCATCACATTGAACACCGATTTTCAGCAAACACAGCATTTGGTTCAAGACAGCAATCATGATAGCCACCGAAATAGCCGGCTTAGTCGGCTCCTTATCGCCCAGCAAGGTCTTTCTCGTCGCATTTGCCGTACTGAACTGGAAATCTCTGCCCTTCGCATGGACGGTACGCCCACACTCGAGTCTACAGACACAATCCATTCCATCTAGCATCCCACTGACCCAAGGCCATCCAGACTCGTCTCGTCTACTGGTTCATCCGCGGGCTCTACGACCTCGCCCATCCACCCAGCAACCCCAGCCCGCCCGTCGACCTGCAAGGCAACCCAACCCACCCGATCTTCGCCGTCGGCACCACCACCTCCTACTGCTCCCTGCTCGAGACGGACTACAACTTCCACAAATCCAACAGCACCTACTACGCCGACTTGGACGCCTCGCGCATCACGCCCATGGCCTACTTCTACTGGCCCGGGCGCGAGAAAGTCAGCGCGGAGATCGATGCCGAACTCGCCGCCCAGGCCACAGCCGAGGGGAACCCGCCGCCGAGAAGTGCACCGATCTTCATCGCTCTCGGCGGCGTGTACTGCAGTTTCAAGAAGGAGATCAAGCCGTTCGAGCGGTACGAGATGCGGTCGCAGGTTGTGGCCTGGGATCGGAAGTGGATATACGTGCTGACACACTTTGTGAAGACGGGCAAGCGAAACAAGGATGGGAGCAGCATAGTCGCGGCGGTGGGAATGAGCAAGTACTGTGTGAAGAAGGGAAGATTGACGGTGCCCGTGGAGAGGTTGCTCGCCGCTGGGGGGAAGGTGCCTGTTAAGCCGGTGACGATGACGGACAAGAGCAGTGAGAGCAGCGTAGATGCACAGTTCGAGTTCACACCAGCTAGCAAGGCAGAAAGTGAGTGGACGTGGGAGCAAATCGAGGCGCAGCGGCTGCAAGGGTTGAAATACTGTCGGTCCTTTATGGGGATTGATGACGACTTTTATGGAAGTTCGTAGTAGAACTGCTGCTTTCTCTTTTTAGCAATGATATTAGAAGTGGAACCATGGACGGAAGTCCAGCAGAATATGATATTAGCTCTTCTATTGCTCGGTTTGTATACGGTATATATCTATCCATTCTACTACTCGAATCTACACCCCAGTGGCGTACTGGCTTCTCCTGCGCAACGCCGGCCCGTAAATCCACAACAGAATCGGGGCGGGCACCCCGATCACGAATCCGACCAAAGCAAGCACCGAGTTTCCCCAACCGTAGTGCAGCTTGTCATAGAGATACGGGGCAAACAGCGGGAAAGTAAACCCCGCCAGCGAGCGCAACGACTGCGCCCCCGCACTCGCCGACGCGGCGTAGGTGGGATACACATCCAAGGCATACAGTTGGGTGCACTGCGTGCCATACTTGACCCCGATGGCAAACAGCGCAATGCCGATGTCCGGCATGATCCAGTGCAAATGATGCTGCGCACTCCAGCCATACCACAGCAGTCCGACCGGGACCATTAGGGCACCGGGCAGCAGCAGCGGGAGACGGAACTCGGGCTGGGCGGTGGCATTGTTGCCCGCCACCAACCGGCGGTAGACGATGCCGATCAGCATGGCGCAGGATTGGGTGCCAATGATGTACCCCACGGCCAACCCCAGATAGTTCAAGCCAGCGATGCTGATCGACTGGCGGTACTGGGTGGTCCAGAGCTCGGCAAAGGTCGCCAGCGCCAGGTAGACCAGCCCGAACAAGTAGGAAATGTACAGGGTCAGCACCTGGAAGATGGGCTGCGTGGCCAGCAGAATATACGGCCGGGTGCAGGCAACCCGCAGTTTTTTGCGCAGACTCAGGTCGTCTTCCTCCCATTTGGTGCGGAGGGACGTGTTGCCTGTCTCCTTGCGTAGTCGGGCTGCTTTGCGACCCAGCAGCACCGGAGCGTAGGTCTCTTGGAAGAAAAAGGTGGCGATGAGTTGAAACAGACCATCGGCAATGCTCACGCTCCAGAAGGTCCAGCGCCAGGAGCTGTACTGAGTGATAAATCCACCTAGCAGAGGGCCTAGGGTTGGTCCCAGCAGCGTGACCATGGTGTAGATACTGACGGACAATCCTCGCTCTTCTTTGCGCCACAGATCCCCGAGAATGCCAGAAGCGATCACACTTGCCGCACTGTGGATGAATCAGATGATGAACACAGATCGATGAGGCCAATTAATGCCGGATATGGGGCAACCCACCTCCCTCCAAACCCAGCAAAGAACCGACAGACAATCAGCTGGGGCCCTGTTTGTGCAAACCCACACGCGGTATTGAAGGCGAGATAGATCAGATTGAATCCCTGCAGGATGACGCGCCTCCCATAGACCTCAGACATTGGGGCGGAGAATAGGGGCCCGAAGGCGTATGCCAGGAGGAAGATCGACAGGCTCATCGTCTGCTCGAAGGCATGGTGGATGTGCAGGTCTTTCGCGATCGTGCTCAAGGCTGGAGCGGTCATGGAGGTGGAGATGGGCGAGATGAAGGCAAAGGTTGAGGCGATGGCGGTCATCCTCCATCGCATCTTGAACGACCAGTTCTTCGGGTTGTCGGGATCATCTTCGCCGTCCCAGGTCACCTTGGAAGTGTCAATAGCGGATGGGAGGGGGAGGGGGAGGCTTAGATGAACACTGGTATGCCGTAGATGCAGTGTCCGACCGAAAGAGACGACTTACCAGGTTGATGTTGGAGTCTGTCTCGGAGGCTTGACATTCCTTGATCGGCAGTGGTGGCTCTTTGCTTTGGGCAGGGTCGGTCACGGGGACTGGCCCTTGAGACTGGGAAGTCTCCATACTGCCACGGTCGGAAAAGTCTCAGATCTGGAGAAATCAAGCAGATTGGGATGAAGAACAGAGCCAGCGGAAGATTTAACTGTGACACCGAGTGGGAAGCTACTCAGGGCGTGGCGACATTCGACCGGAAGGGGAGATTGATAGAGGGAGCGGAGAGAGAGATGTGGTGAGGGTTGTTGTTGTAGGGCCAGCATCGGTCTTGGCGTCCTCTCAACCCATTTTTTCCTGACTGATTGACTGACTGCACGGCACTACCTACTAGTAAGCTGGCCTCAACGGGAAATCTTCTTCTAGACTGATCAGAGAATCCGTTAGATTCATCAACGGCCAGCCTTGACTGCTGACCCCTCATGAGTTCCCACTCCGCAGCAAAAGAAAATGTTCTCCCCCTCACGCCTTCACGCCCCGTATTCCTGCATTCCTGCAATCCCCTATTCCTAGCCCTCCTTCCCCCCCACCTCCAAGGTTGGATTTGAGGCTCAATAGTCCAGCCTTAGTTTCATCCTTCGTGAATTCTGTCTCTGGCTCTGATCTGGTGGTGTTCTCAGGTTCCTGATCCATGGAAAAAAGCAACTAGCGGAGTCTTTGACCTGGCGGGAATTTCCGCTGTCATGGTACTCGGCCTTGACGGCTTCGACCTAGAGTGACTCCATGCAACCACTACATATCGCCATGGCCTATTTCAGATACATTGTGAAATCAGTCTCGCAGTCCACTTTATATCCCCCGTTATAGCAGACATGGCAGAGAGCCTGGAGCAATAGATAGTGATGGCGTCGCGGTCGGCTCTGAGCCAAGTCGGGCCGAGTAGTTGCCGAAATCCGGAGCTCACGACGGTTAGTCATCGCTGCTCGCCCGGCTTTCGGCATTGCGTCTCTCCGCTCTGCCTTCCATGTCTACTACAAGTCTACAACCACATGGCTGCTAATCGCCTACATGAATTGAAATTCTGTAATCAAGTATTAGCCAGTAGCCTAGTGAGCTAGTGCCGCTGTACTGATGCACTGGATCTTTTTCTCGAACATCCACCACGTGTAGTTAGCTGGGGTCCACTGTTTTCGATGCAGGATGCAACCCTAGTACTCTGTAGCAGGATCACTCGTTCGGGGTCTAAGAAATTATTCTAATCAGCTTCGTACTACGAAAACAAAGATCATAGGAAAGTCAAAGTAGCAGGTCTGTATGACTTGGGAGGCTGGTTGATATCCGCGGGAACGCCGCCAAGCCACATGGTATAGATATACGTTGTCCTACTACAACGGATGGTTTCGAGGGTCCGTTCTTAACATTGCAACCTCTGACAGAGAATGCCAGTTTCCAACTCGAGAAATTGACCATGACAGCGTCAGTCAAAGACTCCGAATCGTCAAATTACCGCACGGATCGATTGACCCTACTCCATACAGTCACAGAGCACTGGGCGAAAAGCGAAAAGCGATGAAACCTCATCCTACCCGCAACGTACCCACATTCCCGTGGAAAAGGAAAATCATGCTCCACCGCGCGGATAAGGCCCTAGGTCAACCAATTGATATTGATCAGTGGTCGTGGAAGTGTTGGGACAAGATCCCTGCAAGATTTCAAGGCTACAAGCACATGGCTGGACAGACACCGGTCCTAGGCTAGGTTGCTAGCCCGCTAGTCTGGCTCTCATGCATTATTGCTCCACCAACACGCAAGCGAGAGGGTCTAGCCTCAAACGAGGAATTGGGGTTGACAGGGCCCGGCTGTTTTGGGGATCTTGACGAGATCAAGCGCGCTAAATCTGGAGTGGGGGAGCAAATCTCAACCCCCAAGAGTGCTTAGACAAAGCTTGCCAACATAGGTTGTTGGATTTGAAAGGATTGGCAATTGGGAATGGAAGGGAGAGGTGGGACGCGGCTATGCTGGGTGGGGCGGCCGGAGGCCCATCTCTAGCCGATCGTGCTGGCGTTCTACTTCGTAGCCCAGACAAAATGATTGGAAAAGAAAGAAAAAATTGCGTTTGTGGTTTGGAAAAGAATGAACATATAGACTTCTATGGACGGTAGGTCTCAGAGGATATTCCGTTCAGAGATCAGAGGTTGGCTTGAGCTGAGAAAGGTAAGCATCCTCACGATGCGTATCGCCATGGATGCTGCTGGCATCGAATCCGGGGAATGCTTCTTCTCCGAGGTCATCGATTACCTCGCGTACCTGGACTGCTAGAGCATTGCGGGTCGCTCGAATTTGACTCAAAGATCCTGATGAACGTGGGTTCAATGCGACCAACAACGGTGGTAAAGACTTCAAAATATCCATACCAGTGTCGCCGATCTCGAGCGCTGCAAACGACACCCCGACCAGGAGAGCGAAGAACCCGATCGCAAATTGCCACAAAGGGACAGAATCTGGGATGTAAGTATGCACCTGCATATACCAGGGCAGAAGATGAGAATAGTGGCCACCAGAGCGCTCGTAGCGCAGCCAGAAGCAGACCAGGAAGGTGTACCAAGTATACAGCGCCGGGACTAATCCAAGCGCCACCAGGATCTTCCAGCTTGCAACGACGTCTTGGGCTCGGACTTTAACCACTGATGCTGCTAATGCTTGCCGTTTCTTCTTAACCGAAATCACCTTGGTGGTCACGAAGACAGGCCAAAACAAAAGTACCCCGGGAAGGGTGCCGACGCTTAAGACGACCAACTCCGTAAGTCGATACAGTAGCGTAGCAAAGGCCACCAGCCATGGGCGATCGGTGGCATTGCCCCATTCCACCTGGTGGTCCTTAATGCCCAGTGCTCGAAGCTTGACATTGTAATCCAAGACTGCCTTCTTGAGTCGCACCACTCGCGGGTCATCCCGGTATCTCGTGTACCCCTTGAGTAGCCGCCGGTTCCATTGAACCACCAACGGCAAGGGCAGCTTCTTGCCGATCGGCTTATACAGGCGTCTGGTGGCCTGGATCAGTTGTAGGGTCTCGTGGTCCGGACTGGGTTGAGTGACCGCTGCGAGACCATCATTGATCGTCTCCAGCAGGGAGCCGATGGCATTGCGCTTCTGTGCTCCCCCGGCTTCGTAGGCCTTGACCTGATCGGGATGAACATCGATGGGATGGCCAAACTCAATGACCGCCCGCGATCGAAATTTATGGGCATGAAAGTAGTTCATGCCGCAAGGGATGATGGACAAGCCACAGTCCGGATCCCGCGATAGGGCTCCGAGGGCCATGATGGCTACACCGGCCTTCAAGGGCAGCAGGTCCGAGCGGTCATGGCTGCCGCCCTCCGGGAAGATGCCGATGCAGGCCCCCTGCGACAACTCTTGCCAGACGGAGGCAAACATGCGTTTCTGATCAATGTGCGGGGCGACCTTGAACCTCGTTCCTTCGCCCGTCGCCGGTGTCAGCAGAGCCATGGCGTGTGGAGTCTGGAACGGGGCTCGAAGCCGGAGCTCAGTCGGCCCTATGATCTCCTCAATGTACTGGCTTTCTGGCACTGCTTTACCGACCTTGGGCAGGATGATGCTGCCTCCGACCATGAAGTCTGGTCCCGTGAAGTCAGTGTCAATACCACTAATGCGAGTCGGGTCCCCTTCGGGCGAGGCAAGGTAGATGGTCCCCTGGCCCGGTCGGACATGGTCCATGGCGCGGGTGACGGGAAGATTGCCCAAGGCGCCCGCGATGGTGCCAATGTAGGGCTCGTGCAGTGATTTCTCCGCGATGAGGAAGGAGATACGGCGGCCAACATGCTTCTTCATCAGCTGCATCAAGACCAGCGAGTCGACGAATTGATTGGCGTGTGGCGCAGCCACCAGGATGACGGGTCCCTTGTTGGGGACCCGGAAGGAATTGCGAGTCGAGACCTCCCGGAAGAAGACATCCAGCGTAACACTGAGAACGTGAAGCCCCAGGTCATACACCCAGGGGATCATTGGCTTGGCTCGTGCAGAGCTTGCCACTAACTGCTGTTGGAGTCGATTCTCGCGTAAGTCAGCCTGATGGGATTCTGCGTGCGGCGGCTGACGGGGATCGTTCTGGGTGGCCATGGCAGTGAGAATCGACCTGCTTATTTCGTCAACAGGTGGTAGTCTCGTCCAGAAAGAAGATTCTGGCTGCGAGCGGGCGTAGCAAACATTGCCGAATTATGAGTGTTTGAGCGAATTGCGAGTGAGAGAGTCCGACAGGATTGCCATGAGAATCTCAATGAGCCGCGATGGAGACACTAAGGCTGCTAACCACGCCCCAGCTGGATGCCTCCACTTCATCCTGCCAGTCTTGGAGCGGGTCCGGCGGGCTCGATCATTGGAGACGGCGTATTTCCACGGACGTCGCCAGTCGCTGGAGATGTAACATCTTGGACTGCCTACTGACGGCCAGGATCGATGTAGGTAAGAAGGACAGGAAACTCCGAATGGTCGGTAATTGACTTGGTCATTTCGGCTTAATAATGGTCACTCAGGATGCAAACCAAGGCGTTTAGGAATGTGGTGTGAAGGTTGGAGTGTGCGAGTAAGAAATTGGTCAATCTTAGCGTGTGACAGCCTCCAACTGGTGGGCCCTAATTGGGTGGCCGTGCATCCTGTCCGGCAGGGTCCTTTGAACCTTTTTGCAGCTGGGAAGGCGATAGCTTGTGGGTGTTATAGAAGTGGAGCGCCTAACCACCTTCGTCTTTCCCCCCACTTCACCGTGAAGATATGTTCAGAACTTAAGCTTCCGTTTTGGTACTGAGTATCAGACCAGGGGGGGAATCTTAATATTGACTAATATAGCCCAAGACAATACGAGGAAGGCTGCATGGTGGTTTCCAAAAGGACGATCCTTCTATTTTTGGCTAGGAGGAATTATGGCAGAGAGTCTGATCCTCAACCCTATGTGGCAGGAGATGAGGGTGACTGCATAACTTGGTCAGCCTCCATTGTTCTCGAATTTTTTTTTCGGGCAGAAAAACGGTTGCCAGGAAAGTCAAGAATAAGAATACACCGTCAAGGAGACAACTTAAGGTATAAATACCAGCGAGCAGGTATTTTGAGTTGAGGAGGTGAAAAGTGACTTGGGAAGGTATCAGTGGTGGTAGTTAGAGGGAACGGGCCGGGAGATTAATCGGGCGGGTGTGATTGGTGATCCGGTAGGTTTTTATCTCCGCCAGCCAGCCCGGGATCCTTCCGCGGTCTAGAAGCCCTGAACCACTGGTAACTTGGAAGCTGATATTACTTTCCCTCCATTTTTGCAGCTTTCTCTATCACTACGTATCTGTATGAGTGTGAATATGCCCCCATGAGGCTTGGAGGGGAGGGGTGAGATTGTATCAGCGGACTCAGGCTAAAGAGCGGGGTTTGCTTTGTCGCGACTCGCTTGGTTGGCACTGATGACCCCCTCAGTGGATTCTGCACTGGTTTGTGCATTCTGCCCGCAGCAACTCCAGTGCCCTACCCTTCCCACGTGTAGGTGGAGCGAAGCATGCAGCTGGAATATAAATTGAGTGGTTGTCATGCAACTCCCACCCATGTACTCAGACAGATCTGCAGACACATACTTGCAAGACGCAATGGAACCGTTATCAAGCCCATTCCAAACCTTCGGTCACCAAACGGATTTCCCCGACCTTATGGATACCCTGCATTATGATGATATGGTTCCCGAGTTTGCGTGGGATGAGAGCTCATCCGTGGAAGGGCTGGAAAGTATCTCAGGTGAAGAGAGCTTGGTGTTTAACCTCGACCAAGCCACAGACTTGCCAGTCATGACTCTAAAGTGAGTTAACCAACACCACCCTATCCTCCAGCGAGCATTTTCTGACCACCCTTCCGTAACAGCTCGGAACAACTACGAGATCATCACCAACCGTACGGCGACATCGATCCCCTCCTTATGGCGGACTTCTACCAACAGGATACAAGCCAGCTGGCCGAGATGCTTAATACGACGACACCAAAACAAAAGCCACAACAGTCTTCCAAGAATTTCCAGTGCTGGGATCATGGCTGTAATGGCCGACACTTCTCTTCCAAAAGCAACCTTATCCGACACCAGAAGGAGAAATCCAAGACCACCAGCAATTTCACATGTCCCTTGTGCGCAGCAGTCTTTACCCGAAGCTCCGCGCGGGATACGCACCTGGCTCGTCAAAGCTGCAACCGCATCCGCCGATACTCCAACGGTCGGCCTCGACCCAGCCGACTTGCGGTTTTAAGCAACCCAGAGTTGGTACGGATTATAACTTAGCAAAGGAGGGCAGGGAAAGGGTGGAAGAAAATTGAAGGTTACGGATGGCTTGACCCGAGTCCGGGCCATGGGATGTTGGACCGGCACTATGAATATACCCCAAGACAATACAAGATAGAGACAGAGACCGATTCTTTTCTGAAATCGTACAATTCGATTTTGAGTACAGCACAGTTCGATGGAGCAGGTGCAACATGTTCAATCATTCTGTATTCCACCCCCCACAATAGTATACCTGCTCTCGAGATAAAATAATCCCTGGCAACAGCGTACAGATTCGCCCATCCGAACCTAGATTTGGTTCAGCCTTCGGGGATAGTCGGCCTCCCTTTCATCCTTAGCCATCTGGACCTATTTTGCCTCAAGGCAAATTCAGCCTCGTAAATAAAGTTCATGACGAAGGGCCATGTGGACTGGTACACTAGCCAGGGCCAGGCCGTGCAGCAGTCCCACCGCACTATTGTTGTAGCCATGTGGAGCTCTCCATCTGAAGGCTGTTGCCTCCCCAAGCAGTCTAGTTTCCACTGACTGCAGCTGAAAGAGAACCGATCGTGCCAAGTGTGTTGCTTTCTCTTTTGCTGAATGTCGAGTCATAGTGTATACGTCGGTTTGACCCGCCTTCGGTGCTGTGCAGTGTCCACTTTGTCCATTACCGGCCGAGACAACCCACACCGTCCGTTCGATCTGATTCACGTTGAACCTTTGGTTCCACGAGGTATCTTGGGGGCTAAAGTCAATCGCGATTCATGAATTGTGCTTCAGGAACATCATTGGGCGGTCGCCCCGCACGCCCCATAACGCCGCGTGAAGCTTGGCCGACATCGCCACCCGGATCTTGGCCGATCGGGCTTTCTATGGGCAAAAATCGATAAACTCATTTTTTTGGCACAATGCGCCCGCCGATTTGACTTATGCTGCGAGTCTAAGAGCCAGAACCGAAGGAACTACTTATGGTATGGTCGGCGGTGAGGATATAGGGTGAGGTATAGTCACTGAACAGCCCTGGCCGCCCCCTCAAGAGAGGTTTGAGATTTCGCAAGAATGACTGATACCTTTCTCTAAGATATTGACTGTTCTGCAGGTAAAAAAACGTCGTTCGAAAGGGAGCACTGAGTATCAGGCTTCTCGATTTCATGCAGGACTTTATCTTTAGGATCACCGCTCCGATATCCTACAGTGCTCGCGGTAGTCACATACACGTCAAGGGCGTACGGCTAATATACCTGTGATAATATAGCTTGAGAGGTCTAATCCCAGCATGAAGATCAAGCTGGTTCGCGTCGCAAGGATACTGCGCGGCATGAAGATCACCAGTGGAGAATAACGCTTTGTGTGTCGATCGACAGCACATAGGGCTGAACGGCATGGTGCATTCATGCCATAAGTCTCATGCAGTGTACTGTAACTCGAGTGGACCGACGGTAAGCATCAGACCCTGTCGATCAGCCGGAATCCAGGCAGAGATGAAATCAAGGTTGACTCGAAAGATGACAGATATGGACCGAGCGTGAGCTCCAGCCTGTCAGTAGCTAGTGACAGAGCATCCCGAGCACGTACCAAGGAAAGCAAGTCAACCCGGCCAAGCTCTGTGTTTTGTTGCTGCCTGGACCCTGGCCCATCTCTGCCAGCGCTTGTAGTTTATTGCGGCGGACAATATGGAAGCCCAGAGGAAGCGTCGAAGGTCATCGTGGGCTATAGTCGTGGTGGCACTGAGTATGAAAATGATTGGACTTTTTCTCTCCCGTGAAATATCTATTCTCGCTATCGCTCTGCTGTGTGTTGCCGAGAGGTTGCAGGAGTTGGTATGCTCTGCAAGTTGCATTGCTTCAGTCATGGCAGCCAAATCATGTGAGCAAATTCAAGCCCTAGAGGCTTCAATAGCACTGTCAAGTTCCACTCATGTGAAATTTCTTACATATCTTCGACTACTCATGCATTTCACATTATGCATTCCTGTCTGCGTTCTTGCTATTACTCAGCAAAGTATTCATAACTATCCTTCTTCTTGTATCTCGATGCAGATATCATATCGAGTATCGCCAGACTCAGTGTGGCCAGAGCACATACCCCCCGATCACGGGCTTGAGACTTATCTCCCTTGGTTAGCGCCCATGAACAAGGGATTGATTTTTCTCATAATCTTTGCATAAGACACACGAAAAAAACTTACCAGCGGCAAAATCCGTCCTGCAGTTCAGACGATGAAGCCAAGCAAAACCAGCCCAGATTGATCCGGCCATCCCGCAATCCCGCAATCCATTGATCCATCCATCCATTGATCCATCCATCCCCAAATCCACGATTCCTCTCCTTCCTGCATCCTCACGAGTATGGCCGTCGTATCTAACACTATATCCACCATATTCTGCAGCGTAGTCCCGTAGCTGCCTCAAGCCGACCATCCAACTTCACCGTAACTCAAACCGCCCAAACGTACTATCCTCAATCACCATGCCAGGCACTCTCGTCTCCCGCAATACCACCGGCAAGGTGGGCATGTGGAACGGCACTCGAGACGGCGAAAACGCCTACATCGACCATGCCAACGGCTCCACCAACATCAAGCCCCCCAAAGAAATCGATATCACGGTGACGGATCTCCGCTCGGTGTCGCCGCAGCCCACCCACGCCAGCAAAGGCTACCAAGTTGTCCGCCACACCACCTCCATCACCCCCGAACAGTTCCTCGCCGCCGCCGACACCGAGGAAGGCAAAGCCACCATCGAAACCCAGTACTACCCGGAGGTCCAGAAACTCGTCACCGAGGTCACCGGCGCCGCAACAGTGATCCCGTTCGGGTTCCGCGTGCGCCAGCAGAACCTGAACGCAAAGAACGTCTTCGCCGCCAAGTCCAAGGGCAGCTCCCTGGCCGTGGCACACGTCGACCGCGACCTCGATAACGGGTTCCTGCGGCTGCAGAACGTCGTCGGCGCCGAGGAGGCCGAACGCCTCGTGCGCACCCACAAGCGCTGGGCGTCCGTCAACGTGTGGCGGTCGATCGACCAGGCCGTCAAGCAGTGGCCGCTGCTACTGATCAACCACGAGAAGATTGAGGACTGGCATTATGACACACACATGGAACGCTTGTACACCATCAATGACCCCTCCGAGGCGGAGACTGGCGGTAAGGACCACGACACGGTGCTGAAATTCGATCCGCGCTACGAGTTTTACTTCGCCAGCGACCTGGATGTTGATGAAGCGTTGGTGTTTAGCTCGTTTGACACGGATGTGACCAAGGTCGTGCCCCATGGGGCGTTCTGGGATAATGATACCCCGAAAGATGCGCCGACGAGGCGGTCGATTGAGGCGAGGTCGTTTGTATTTTGGGATCCAATTGAGGCGTGACTGTTCTTCTGCAATTAGCTATTCCTTACTCTCCGTTTGAAATGTGTTTATTTGGCTCTACTCCGGTCGGAAGTCTATGCTGTTATTGAAAGGTTCTATTACACTCATCCCTCGTGGAGGCTCCTGGTAGGTAGCTGGAAGAGCATTCCCACAGAGTAAATCATATCAATTGGGGCTGCTGCATCAGTAATACTGGGGACGCTTCTCTCACTACAGCACTACAGAGTATATATGTCAGGCAGGAATTCAGCACACCAAATGTGAATACTAACAAGTCTTCATCAAAGGAAAAGAGCTATGTACTACTCAAGATCATTCTCATAATTAACATAAGCGTACGATCACTCCGCCCAAGGAACCTCCAGATACAATAACGGAACATGCTGCTGCGACCCATGCGTGTCCGTCTCCCCGAAAGTTCCGCACACGATCGGTCGCTTGATCGTCGCCTTGAAAGCACAGGCGGAGGGCCAGTACATGCACACCAGGACCTCTTCCGTCGGAATTTGGTATAGACGAGCGATGGTGCCGACATTGAGCACGTCTGTCGAGCGAACCCTCTCGAGCGCGTTGAGATCGCGAAAGAGGACGTCAAAGGTTAGCTCAAACGGGCCTGCGTTCTTACTCCGCACCACCGAAGCAATGTCGCCGAGGTAACGATGGCCTGGGGATGGGGGCGGTTGGAGGAAAACATCCCTGGAGCCCAGCTCGCAGGGGGGCATCGGGCGATCCTTGAGTTTCCTTCCATTCTTCCGCTGCAGACTGTCTCTCGGGTGCACTGCCAATTGTCCCTGGTCCTCCGACAATACAGGCGTCCATTGTGCGGCGATCGGAAAGTGGGAGGTCGGATCGTCCACCTGCATGAGATGGTAGACGCAGAACTCGCAGGCCGGCCCCAGGGTCAGATTGCTCGGGTTGATGGGCATGGCGAGATTGCCGCCCGTGGCCGCTTGGTAGGGGTAGGGTCCGTGAACGAGGTAAGTTCGCGCCAGCTTACAAGCTTCTGTGGTCTGCGACTGGGTCTGGGCGTGGAGATGGGCGATGATGGCCACCTCCTTGGGGATGGTGGATCGATCTCGTTCAAGAGCTCCCATGACTCCGTCCTTGCCGTAGACATGCATCCGGCAGTCGAAATCAAACTCCAGCTTCTCGTGCATCGCCTTGACCACCTCCGTGGTGAAGTAGTCGATTTGATGGATCAAAATCGGATCTCGAACGGCTCCAATAACAACGCCGTGATATCCACTGACTCGTGCCCCTTCCAGCTTGACCATGTATGGGTCAGACTTCTGGAATTGAGCTCCGGACACTCGCACCGTCCGGCCATCGGCCAGCTCTTCATAGGACGCATCGGCCAGGAGTAAGGCACCGCCGGGTCCGTGCAGAATATCAGGACGAGCATTCTCGTACAAGGCGTGGGCAGCGACCGAATTCTTCGTGCAGCGCGCACTGGGCTTAAGCGGGGTGATCTCAAAGCACGAGGGCTCCTTGCGAATGACCGCCAGGGCCTCGGGGGACTTGGGCGTGGCACACGACGCCCCACATTCCATGATCTTGCCCATGTGGTAGATGACCCCCAGATCCGTGAAGCCGTGGTACAGACAAACCGCGACGTAGGGGGCTGGATCGTACGAGCGTCCTCCAATGATGAT